AAATAATATATGACTCAGGGAATCATTAAATGCTGAAATTAAGCTTCTTATTACAGCAGTGCACGGGATTAGGGAAGAGAGCTCCTTTGAACATCAACTTCTTCCTCCCGAGGTTCCGGTACGGGAGGGGGAAGCAGTAGGTCGCTTTGGTACTCTTAGAGTGCTGGTGAAGATGAGTACTCGTGTACTCGTCCGACCGCCCTAGAGTTCTGAAGAACGTAAAGGAATTGGGGATTCAGTATGTCAATTCTCTTCAATGGTATTGGTTGGCTCTTTAAATACGCATGAATGCCAGGGGAAAATTAACACAAGTCTTACATAAAATGAATGGAAACATGGTGTTTGGAATGCAAACGGGAATGTCAATTTTACGTAAAATTTACGTTAATTTTATGTCACCGTTTACGTAACACAGAGGTGACATTTCTGCAAACATGTTGACATTTTCTTGACAATGGTTTGCGTAAAAATGATATAAAATGGACAAAAAATGTACATTCATTTTACGTAAAATTAACATAAACATGCTGTTTGGGTGTGTACGAAGGACCGGCCAGGCGGTAAAGTTACCCGTCGACGCCGACTCGCGACGTCAAAACGACGGAAAGAATTAGGGGGGATTCGTGCATTTTCCCCGGGAAATATTTATTTTCCTTGAAATATTCTTGAAGAAAATCGTTGCAGAATTTCTGTATGGCCAAGCGAGCAAGAAATATGCGAAAAATAGTTTTATTTTCACCGTAATTAAATGATTAAATAAGTGCCGGCCGATTTAAGAGAAAATCCAATGCTAACTTTTCCGAGAAAGGGCGCAGCCCGAAGCAAGAAAAAGCAGAATAGGCAGAAGTACCCGCTTAGAGGTGAACCTCGCGACCGGATTCTTCTTAGGAAGGAGAATCCGGACGAAAGAAAAAGGAAGCCGAGATGCGTCAGAGGAGCGAAGTGCAGGTGATCGAGAGCTACGAGGCGGAGCCCCCGCCGTTGAAGGAAGAGGAGTCGACACCGAGGTCGACGACCCCGAGGTCGGCGACCCCGAAGCTGAAGCCGGCCCTGTTGGACACGGAGATGCTGAAGCGGCCCACGGCCATCGCCGTGTGGCCCTTCAAGCGGCCCTCCCCGACCAACTGCACCAAGATCCAGGTGTTTCGACCCAAGACGGCGTCGGTGCGACCCCAGGACGACCTGCTGGACTCGGTCCTCGAGGAACAGGCGAAGCTGCGACCCAAGACGGCCCGACCCTGGAAGAAGAAGCTGACCGAGATGGACTACGCCATCGGATGGGAATACCCCTCAGAGACCGCGTCTCGCCGATCCCACAGCCCCAAGTCCTCGGACTCCGGCTTGGGGAGTCCCAAGTCCGAGGACTCCGGCTTGGGGAGTCCCAAGGAAGAACGCCACCCCAAGGACGACGGGGTGTCCCTCGAGAGCTTCCACAGCGACGTCAGCGCCTCGACCCGCTCCTCCCGGAGCTCCTCTTCCTCCGGCTACGGAACCCCCAAAACGAGACCGGGAACGCCAAAACTGAGAATGAAGAAAAAGACGAACTCCATCGCCCCCGAAGCGGCAGAACTCCGAAAGATCCAAAGCGCCCCCGACCTCCCCACCCTCCCGAAGGAAGAGATCGGCATCCAGACCGACCTCCCCCCGCCCCCCCAACCCCCCCAACCCCCCCAACCCCGACCCATCACCGCCCGCGCCCCCTGCCTCGCCTGCGACCTCAAGAACACCCTCACCGACCGCCCGGGCAGACCCGAGTTCAAATTCGCCTTCCTCTGCGGCAGACCCAACCCCCGCCCCCAGACCGCCCGTCCCGGCCTCGAGAAGTACAAGCGCCTCCGCCTGAAGGGCCGCGACCCGAGCGGGATGAAGAAGAGCTACTCCATCAACACCCTCGCCCCTCCCTTCTCCACCTGGCAGAGACTCACACCGCACGACATCCCCACCAGGCTGAAGACCATCTACGACGTGAGTTACAGTCAACCCACGAAACTCAGCCCTGGTCCTTCCCTCCGACGGCTCTACAAGTACTGACTCCCCTAACGAATAGCCCTTTCATGCATGCTCGAATCCCATGATACTCAATGAACTACTGCCATTTCTTATTCCTCCGGGACCTTTTCCTTCGTCTCATGCCATCGATCCCCACCCCTCGCGAGGGTCAGAGCATACACCGTAGGGAAACGATGCAGAATCCATTGGTATTAGCAGACTCACACGAGTAGGCGCGAAATGTTTCTCAAGGTCGAGTGGAAGTGAAGAAAAGAAATACAGTGGATTCCGCTTTATTGGGCCATCGGTTAATTGGGGGCAGCCGGTTCATCGGGACGTTTTGTCAGGAACGGCGGGACGAAAATCCGCTTCATCGGGGCAAAGTCGAGATTAACTCATGCCGTCGTTCCCAAATTGATTTTTCCGCCCAATCCCTCGCTCCTCTTCGCCGTGTGTTTAGTGGTTAAGAGCTGGTCGACTGGTAAGGCAGAAACCATCGCATGCTGCTTCCGTGTATCTGGCTTTTATTCCGGACCAGAATCGAACAATGAAGGGGGTCTGACCATTATTGATGTCACTGACGGAGGAGCTCACGTCAACATCAATGCCAAGAGGCCTTGCTAAGGGAATGGCGCAGACGAGGAGCCCGAAACTTTACCTAAGGTGACTCGCGTTGAGTGCTCGGTGGACATCCTTCAACGCTACTTTATCGAGCAGGGTTTGGATGATAGCGGACACGGTGCTCTTGGCATTGGTGCTTTAGAGAAGCTTTTCCAGGTATGAAACAAGCAACTATGGGCACATTTCTTGAATCCTAATTTTTGTTTTTGCTCAAGTAAAGGACATTCGTGTCTGGGTTACTTACTATACTATAAGGTAAGTTCGCTTTATTGGGGCAAATTGACCTGGAACCAACGTGTCCCAATAAACCGGAATCCACTGTATTCTCATGCACCCCCCCCCTATTCGTCAGAAATCCGCCTGGTTGGGGAGCGAATGAAGGGGCAGGGAGGAGCTCGAGAAGCTGCCCATTCTCTCACACCATCAGTGTGAGGGTGAGCAATCACACATTTGTGGCTACAGCAATGAGAAAGTTCCAGATTTACCATCACTTGGATGTCCCTTTAGCTAGGTTTTCAGTCGTGTATCGAGTCTAGTTTCCACGAATTGAAGCCCAAACCAGTGTTAGGTAGTTTCAATAGTACTGGAATCGCACTGGGCATCCTCTAGGTCAAATTGAATTCTCCATATAAAACAACACCAAACAAGCCCTACAAACCTTTATTTGCATGTATCCATCATCATCTGAATCAATGAAATATAATAAAATCTTCATTTCTTCTCTTCATCGTAGAATGTAGTATCACAGGCAACAGGTCTCAACATTTCTCCAGCTGTCTACTATATTCGTGAAAATATCCACTCTTCCTGATGTGTTCCCACATCTTAGCACTGTAGTGAAACCTGCAAGGAGCAAGAAAATAACATCAGCCAAAAGCAAAAACCAATTTCTCAGATTTGATGGGTCTGTAAAAGACTCAACTCAATCCCTTTTAAGAGGAGAAAATGACACATACATGTCGAGATGAAATAAGAAGAGTCATTCCCTCAATGCAAAGACAGGACATAATACAATACAAGGAATATGCATGTCTCACCAATTTCTTTCTGTCAGTGGATTATGGGTGAAAGGGTGCCGCTCAGCAGACAAGATGCATCTAAGCTCCCTTATCATGTCTAGGAAGTTTTGGTGATCACCAAACCCATTCTTCCCTGTGTTGGACCGATCATCTGTCAGGTCAAGAAAGGAGATCATTAAGTAGAGATCCTCAAAGGTCTTGCCTCCAAAGGACAGGGACTGACCAATCACAGGATACAAGAAATCTTGTCACTCAGCCTAGCCCCCTGGTTGGGCTGGGACATGAACCCAGTGTCTTTGTGACTATTCCTGTTCCACTTAACTATGCACTGAATTTAATTTTAAAAAAAATTGAAATCAAGTGCATAGTTAAGTGGAACAGGAGTAATCATCATTTGAAATGTCCAAGGTTACCAAGAGAAACATACAAATGGAGGCAACATCTTTGGACAATTAGGAATGGGAAAAGGAACAAAATTCAACATTGCATGTCACATAAAGTCATGCTTCTACAAAGGGTACAATACCAGTGAGAGGCACACGCTTTAAAACATTGAAAGTGGAACTAATTGATGAAAAAATAAAGAGGAATGGTCAACATCATAAATATGAGTCAGTACTATAGGGTTCCTGCTACAAAACTCAATTGCAGGGAAGGGAAATGAAAAGTTTTCTTCCAGGCCATCTTTTAATTTTGTTGGCCCTCAGACAGGAGCTTTGGATTGCCTGGGCTTTTGGGAATTATTCCTCACAGACATCCTTTTCTCAACCTAACCCAAAGGTTGTATATTCCTTACTCAGCCAGTACATGGGTGCCTTGCTCATGACAAGTGTTCTTATACACAACTCTTTGAGACTAATAGTTCCCTGGGAACACAGGGCATAGAGCATGATTTTTGGTTGAATGGGAGGGAAACCAAGCTGTATTGCTCTCAAACAATTAAAGAGATCCAAATACATACCAGAAAAATTTGGGAGAAAGAAGAGATTAACAATATCTTCAGTCTTTGGATAGCGAACATTTGGGATCCTCATATGAAGACCACTGCTCCATCTCAGCTGTGATTTTGATAGGGCATCTCTGTACACTCTCTGTAAATAAAAAGACATCAAAGATTACCTAAAATCAAGTAGGTCTATGGCTTAACCAGGCAAGTGTGCTACTTCCTGAACAAGGTGGAATCCACAAGTAAATATTAATGAACCACAGCAATAGTTGTGGATCTACAGTAAAAACTTAAGTAAAAAACTGAACATGAACTCCTTTATCTTACCTTAATATGTAAGTATATAGTGTACAACATGGTACATTGCCACTTAAATAATAGAAGCTATTGTGTATCAGGAACATTGGTCATGGCAGAGGTATCTGTCATACCCCGCTAGAAGGGTTAATGGGAAGAGATGTAGAAAAGTAGCTAACCTGGATGGCAATGATAGCTTCAGCTTGGAATTCATCTGGGTGGACTTTATTGTGCACAAAGACAACATGTGGGAAAGATTCTGGGTCTTCTGGACTCAGGCCATATGGCTTCAACATTTCGGCAGCCTGAACGAGCCTGAATAATGTTAAAGGGAACATCTTAGCACAGATCAACCAAATGATGAGTTTTACATTTCTCTCTCCTCTTTTTAAACTCACCGAATGATGTTTGGATCCAAAACAAAATCCTGAACAACAAGGACAACATGACAGATGTTGAGGAAGAGAGCCACCATTTGCAAAGCTTGAATTTCTATGGTAGTATGGAGGCAGCCATAATCAAAGCTGTATTTCTTTTCCTTCTGTGCAAGTCTATCCATGACAGAGGGGGACATGAGAGGCTGCATATCTAGAAAGATGACTCTTTCAAACGAAGCAAATATGCGAATCCCATTGGTGCAATGCTCTGACATCTCCAGCTGCTCTGGTGTCTCAGCCATGAATGGAAAGGACCTAGTTGGATAAAAATGAAAAATCAGCATTCTTCAATGAAGTAAAAGAAATAAAGAATTCATGTTCATATCAATAAGGACAAGAATTACTTGGAGTCATTCAGCTTTCCCCCACAGAGGAGAGAGAGAATGGTGGATTTTCCAACACCCTGTAATCCAATGCAGCCAACAACTAGGCATTCTGGGTGATCAAGGAGGAATTCCAGACAAGATTCAGAAAACTTCAAGCTCTCAGGATCCATGAGTTTCATTGATGCTTTCATCAAGGGAGGAGAAGTGAGAGGATTCACTGCAGGTGCTGCAGAATAAAAGAATGACTCTGGAATCATGTGAAGAACTCAGGCATGCACATCAGACATCAGTAGCAAGGACAAGCTCAATCTGACTTTCAGGCATTGCTATCTTTGGCTGAGCTGGGATCCCACCAACACGAAGGTCCTCCTTTCTGGAAAAAAATTAATCCTGTCAAGGAAAATTCCTCTGAACTGAAAGAGACAAGGCAGTTCCCAGTGATCATGTGCTTAGCTAGGCTTCATAAAGTTATTGCTTTGCTAAGAACTTCAATTCAAATCCTTCTACATGATCGTATTGAATTTTTGCTCTGATTTGGTAGAGTGCATCCATTCAAATGGCAGGTTGAGAGAGATAAGCAAAGGAAGACATTAGCATGTCAGGGGGCACTGGGGCCAAAGGGAAAACTGTATGATTAATGAGGGGAGAGGGGGAGTGAAGAAGGAAACAGTGGCAGAGCTTCCTCTCCTTTAACCCCTTAAATCCTGAGCGGCGTATACACGCCAGACGCACCTGCCATCTCTCAATGGAATCACCGCACATATGCCTTCAAAAGTTCCCAGTTAAGGGGTTAAACCTTCTACTTCCCAAAATTCTAAAAATACCTTTCCTTATACATTCTTATATAGGTGGCATCTTAGTGCCTTCCCCCTTCAAAAAAGGGGCAATGTCACCCTTGAGTTTGGGGGTGGCAATTTTGATTGATGTTTCCCACTTCTCACCCTCATTAGGCCAGTGCTGCACGGATCCGACAACCCGCAATTCGAACGGATGCACTATAGCTAAGGAAAGTGGTCACATCAATTTTAATTTACAGTTGATCCACAATATCACCAAAATCTGATACACCTAACTAGTCCATTTTTCTTTCTTCACTGTAGACCAATTTTAAATGGAAAAATTACACACCCGATGTTATGTCTGACAAAAGGACACAGTCTGCAAAGTCAGGTTGAAACATTTTTTAATAAGAATCGCACTTGGTGGCGATGGGAGGTGCAGGGCTTGGAGATGGTGAAGTGGATTCTTGAGGTTTCTTCATGAGAACAGTGACAGGTGCCTGCTGCTGTGGCATGGTCTCAGCTCTTGAGGACCGGTGTGAAAATCCTCTGCCATGTCCTCTCCTTGATAAAACACTTATGCGTGCCCGACCTCTCCCATCCATTATTCCACCTTTGGTAATTTAACTATATCCTGGAATACATGCTTAAAAACGAAAAATGAAAAAAGTTAGACACACAAAAAGGCATGGTATCAGAATGTCATCCTGATCTGACAAAGAAAAAAGTGAATACATGGCTTATATCCAATTAAGCACAATTATTAGTTCTCCATAGATCTCTCAGTTTCAAGCATTAGACCCAGATCTGGGCAACCATCAGTCAAGTGCATGACTGAGGCTGACTTCTATGAAACTAATAAGATGAGACTTATGTTGTTGATGACGAAGTACCATGGTGAAACAACCACCAATTAATTTCTGGCTGGCATATAGACTGATGCAAATCATACAAGTAGTTGCTCATGCCAGTCATATTACATTCAAGTCATTTGTCATGAAAGACAGCACTCGTGGGCAAGGAAACAATATATGATGTTATGTATGGGGATGAGAAGCACAATATTTTGACAAATGAAGCAGGCCTATACAATGCTCGAGAGAGAGGGACAGAAAGGACAGCAAATATAACACCAGAAAGAAAAACTGTTTAGTCCTGATCAGGAAAAAAAAATGCAATGGGTCCTACAGGAAAGAAACTGAAAGAACATCAGAAAGTCAAATGTTTCAGTAATACAGAATTCGGGCTCTTGGTTGGCCTAATTGTAGGTCTCAGTAGGCCTGAATGAAATACTCCAATGTTACTAACCAAAAGTACTTCAGAGACTCCCATTGAATATGCCACTGAAAAAGGAATTTGTCAAATACAAAATATTCAATACTTAAAGAAGAGTTTCAAAACTGTGATTACTCACATGAGATCAAAATTCATTCCACTCATTCATCTTAGATGAATTTATGGTCAAAGAAGCACACAACGATGTTGTACATGGGAATCTGAAGCATGATATTAAGACAAAGTATAAATTGTTTGAGAAGAACACAAGGATGTAAAGATCCAAAGTCTAAGAATCAATCCAAATCCATATAAAAGAATCCAATATGGTGCATTCTACTTCAGAAATTCTTTGCAGCAGGGCCAATTTTGGTGGTACTGACTTTTTCAGCAAACCGAAGGGAATTAAGTGATTCCTGAGCATGTTGCTGAATGGGAGAGACATTTATGAACATAAGAGTCTTGCAATTTCCCCCAAGACAGTTCTGAAGGAGATGGGTCAACTTGGAATTCCGAAATGGGACATGGAGAGAAGACTTGGATGACTTATTACCCAGGGCCATGATGCAGTTGCTCAAAGAAGTCAGGGAAGAGTTGATGTTCTTCAGTTCAGTGAAGCGGGTTCCTTCTGCACCAGAATTCTTTGCCCTTTCTGAGCCAGCTAGGTCGACGAGATTTAAAATCCCAGAGCATGTTTTATTCAAGGCTGTGTTGACTCCAGTGAGCTTGAGCATGAAGACTGAATGTGACCTTGATGAATATTCATTGCATTCTGTTTCAGCAACAGCACGATTCTTCTGTGCTCGTTTCATGAGCCTTAAAAGATGCTCCTCCTCCTGAATGTCTTCTTTGGTGAGATTGGTCACAAAAATTTCATTATCAGACTGACGGAGTTCATATTTTACTGTGGAGTTTCGGTTTGGTGTCAACAGGTCTTGAATCTTCTCATTGTAGATCTCCAAATAGCTAGCCTGCATGGTATAGGACCATCCCTTTGACCTCAAGCGGTCACATTCGTGAAAGATGTATTTGACACTACGTGGAATGACACCAAGACTTTCCACATTAGAGGTGTCACCCTCCATTGTGAAGGTCTTTCCACTTCCTGTTTGCCCATATGCAAAAATGCAGACATTGAAGCCATCCAGGGCAGACTGGACAAGCTGGGAAAGTTCTTCAAAGATGTCAGCTTGTGAAGATCTTGGACCAAACACCTGATCAAACTGGAAGCTATTGAACTTGGCAGCTTTGGTCCCTGTCAAGGTTCCAGCCTCTGTGGTGATATTAAGAGACTTGTTGTTTGGAACGGAGATATGTGAAATGCTGAAGCGATCCTCATCTTCAGGGATTTCTCCCTCAATGAAGGGTCTGACTCTACAGAAAACTCTGATGTTCCCCTTCATTTCTTGCAGCTGCTCGTGCATGTCCCTCCTCTTGGACTCCTCAATGAGGAGCTGTCCCTTCAAATCTGTTATGGTCTCATCCTGTGCAGAGTTTTGCATTAGAAGTCTGTGATTCTCCCCTTCCAATCTTTTGATTTTTTCTTCTTGTTCCTCAAACTTTTTCCTGCAGGATATCAGTTCATCCTGACATTTCTGAAGCTCAACCCTTACTTTTGATAGTTCATCCCTTGTTTGTCGTAGTTCAGATTCATACATGTTCTTCATTGACTCTGACTGTTGTCGCTGCATCCTTTCAGTAGCTAGAGCACTTTCAAGCTCACTGGTCTTACTACAGTAGCTCTCTGACCGGGTCTCCAGTTGTACATTCTCACTGGTAAGAGACTCCAGCTTCTTTTGCAACTCATTTATATCTGGAAGGCCTCTAAGATAGGCTTCCATATCCTCCAATCTGCCTTTGGTATCCCAGGCAGGTCTTTTCTTGAAGGTTGGATGAACAATATTCCCTTTATCTGCTTGCCTCTCTTGTATGGTGTTTGTTGCATTGTTGAGAGGAGCTGGCTTCCCATTCCTGGCATTCTGATTCCCAGTTACACGTGATCCAACATTGGAGGTCTTCACTCCTGGAGCAAGTCGAGAACCCACAGAGAACCTGACAGCTGTTGTAGTTTTGGCTTTGGCTTGGGCATCAACACTAAATCGCTGATGCGCAGCTGCTCTGCTTGCAGTTCGAAGAGTTACTGCACTCCTTTGTGTTGTCAATCCCCTCTTCTTAGCAGTGGTGGCAGCTCTTACAGGCCCAATTGATGGTGGTGGCATGAGAGAACCCTCTTCTTCCCGCTTCTGCAGCTTTGTTGGTGGACATGCTTCAGGAGGATCATCTTCATTCTCAGCACCTCTCCCTCGCTTTTTCTTGCCAATTGAGCAAGATACTGGCAAACGAGAGCGGGTTCCACTACCCTCTGGGGTTTTTGGCTTATGGTTCATTTGAAAAGTCCCTGGGTTTTCTTTATCTTCATCTAATGGGGACTTGCAGCTCATGCTATCACCAACACTTTGAAGTTCCTCCAGTTGTGAAGTTTTTTCACAAACCTAATTTGATGGAATCCACCTGTTAGAGACATAAATTGATCTGCTTAATATCAAAATAGTTTGCATTAAAATGTTCTTATATAAGGGAAAATATTCTATGGCTACATTGAATATTATTTCCGAATACCAGATTGGTTCAAGTCATTGTGCTATTTATACTTTCCAAACATCTGAATTCCCTTTACATTTCCCCATTCTTGGCTGCCAATTCAAGAGGCATTTACTAACATGTACTTTTTTAGAAGCATTGAAAACACTAGATCAACCAAAGATCTGAGCAAAAACGTGGCTCAGAAAAATATGGGCCCGATGACAAGTTAGGCATTTTCTGACAGAATGTTACAATGGCTACAGGAAGGAAAGATTTAAAGAAGAGGTGCAAGGCACCTAAATGTAGCTTGACAGAATTAAGAGCCTTACTCCAAGGTAAAGATTACAACCAGAAATTGATAAAGACTTGAGTTATATCTAAACAAAAATATTCTGGGGATAGAATACACCAGATTTGGTGTAGTCACATAGTCAATCAACACTTTTCTGGCAGTACTTCCCTAGGACAATGACTTAACTCCTATTAAGATGATGCCTGACAGCAAGTGTAATACAGGATGATGGAAAGAATTAAGCTTACATGGAATGCCGGGCAGCATAGATAGGTCTGTAAAAATGAATGCAAGTGAAACGAGACAAGCACACAGAAGTTAAGGAATGGAAGAATGAAGAACTACACTGACTGAAAAATCACCATAAAGAATTTCAGATAAGCAAAAGAAAAATATCCCAGTCTAAATTCTACTGTTGAGCCTCTCCAGTATGTCCAATGGGTTGAGTAGGCAAGAGCCAGCCAGATTAGAGACAGATGCAAACTTCTTGTAACCAGGAGAGGTTAGACCTAGGAACCTGCTGGGGGGGGAAAGGGTGGAGGTCTGTTTGATTTTCTCCCAGTCCTGAAGATAATTTTTTTCAATTTGTAAAATAAATAAAATACATTTGCACATGGACTGTACTGTAACTGAGGTTTCTCTAAATGCAGGAAAGGTAAAATAAATAAATAAAGGCAAGAGAGTTAGGATCAGGGATAAATTTGACCATTGTTCCATTATCAATGGATCAATGGTCAAATTGTAATTTACAACCCCCTTCACCCAATCATCAAGGGGTGACTCTTGATTTTACGTTCCCTTGGACTTCTGCTATAGTCATTAGGGTGGAAATGGTTTGACCTAACAAATGCACTGTAGACTTAATTACTCTTGTTCCTCTCAAACTCTACTCTGTTTCCACCACCAACAATCCTACATTTTTTTACTCAAAAACATGCAGTTCATAAAAATTCATGTAGTACTTTTCAATATGACATACTGATTGACGACCAGCATCCACGCACAAGTCTTCCCCACCAGTACAATGTCTTTCCCCTGTACTTAAATGCCACCTCCTCCAGAAAGAGAGGAATTGGTGCATGATTGAATTAACAAGTAGGCCTAGTCTGGGGCAACTGAAGTGAGATTTTTGGCCTCGGTCTAATCACAGATGTCTTAACGTCCATGTTTTTATCAATCTGGTATATAGCTGTCATAAATGACCTCATAGAAAATTATTTGGGACAATATCTATTTCCATCAAGCCGATGCGACCCGAATGTAAACAGGTGTGACCCACCGTAAAACTAACGTTACATGAATGCAAAAGTCTATAATTAATTTAATAAAGATCAAATGAACGAATTCTTCAGAGGTCAATACAACTCACAAAAGTAAAGGCATGAACATGGATGAAGAGGCCCCACGCTAAACCCAGACACTAGGCCACGGAATTACAGTAGCATAGATGTCTAGGCTATGAGGCCTAGACTTAAGAAAGCGTTGTCTTTCTGCAACAAGGATGCACTCAGAGCATACCCTGATCGGGGGGAGCGGCAGGCAAGCGAACTATGATCACAGAATCAGGAAGGAATTTAAAAATAATTTGTTATCTATGGTGTGATGGGTGACGGACGACTGCGGCGGAGGACCCACACTGGCGAGTTGACGGACGAAACTTTGAATTTCTTTCTCCTTCCATTCGATAGATGTCAGGCTGCAGAGAGTACCAGTGTTGCCCCATATTTTCGCTTCCCCTTACTTCCATTTTGGTAGCCTGTGATGCAGGTTGCTTTTTATTTCATTCCATTCAGATCTTGTTTTGTGATTGTTATATCCTCATTTATTCTCAGCTGAAAGACGGTGAAAGTCATGCTGTACTCATGTCTGAGGCCTTCGCGTTACGGAACCTGAGCATGGCGCGAGATTCGGACTCAAAGACATGGCTGACCCATGATGGCGAAAATGATTTTGGACCCGATGAAATCTCAGAACTACTCGAGAAACTCTTTACTATATGTCAAGACAAAGAAAGGAAGCAGATATGGAAGGAGGACCCATTCTGAACTTATGTTGTGTAAATCAATGTATGATATAAATTTGAAAAGGAAGTCAAGCTAGGTCGTTGGCTTAGAGATGTGGGGGAGGGGGAGAGGCTTGAACTTCCAACTCCTCCCCCCCGGTTGTACCGGTTACCCTCACCCCTGACCCAGCCTTCCCCAACCCCTCTACGCTCCTCCCCTTCCATTAGAAACTACTAGAGGCGTCACTGGTCGTTGGAGCTTCTTTCTTCCGCCCGGGGAAGGTGACATCGCTCGGGGCTGGGTCTGCATATTTCTTGGCCGCGAGATCCTCCACACAGCAAAATACAAATTCCAAAGGCAAGATTCAATCCGTGTCTACTTCTGGAGGGAAATCGCTCCTCCTCACGAATTTCGAGATGTTCATGCGCAACTGGATATCTGAATCTTCTTGATCCTGTTCGCCAGATTTTATTATTACTATTGTTTGTTTTTCAAAGTCGGGGGGAAAAGAGAAGGAATACATTCTCGCATGCAAAAGAATCGAAAATCCATGGAGATGGAAAGTGGGGTGGCAGCAAAATAATTATCAATTATATTTACATATAACATAGGGGTCCGTATATTACATATACGGACCCCTACAACTCCTGCAGGCAATTGTAGCATGCCAATTTGAATGTTTTCGAATTTTGATGCTGAATCGAACAAGCTGTGTTCCAAGTTAAATTTTCAGTCAACCGAACGAACGCAAACAAGAGAAACCGAGAGCCGAGCAGAATACAGGATTCGAGTTCAAATCCGAACTTTTGAAGGCGGTCAGGAATTCCTTAGATCTTTTTATTTTTATTTTTTACGAAAACTGATTGGTGGAGTACATTTATACAGCTGACCTTGCTTCATAATTTTTCCATGTTTATCATTCTGGGCTATTCCATAGTCGTTTGTGCGTTGTTTTGCCTAATTATTTTAAATTTGGACAAACTTAACCGACTTGAACTGCTGAACGCCAAAAATCGTTGCATCAAATCGACGCCCTTTCATCAATATTCGCACTTGCAAATTTTTATTTCCAAAAGGAAATGCAAATTGAAGCACGAGACACGTTTGACGAACGAAAACGCCTCAAGACCCGTTTGAAATCGCGGGATGGGCGGGACGACGCATCGTTTGGATGCACCCCATCAGCCTGCACTGCATCACGCCCCCTCAGGGCAAATGCACGGGGAGGCCGAGTGGAGAGGGTTGCATGCGGGAGTTGCCTACCGGGCCAGTCACCCCAACTTCAGCTGATGTGCGTCTTGCTGGGGTTGTGATGTCTCCAGCCTCCGAGCTCATTTTCACTCGGTGTTCTTTGTCCGAAGGTTAGTAGGCTTAGCTTCGAGGCCTAGAGGCGTAAGGGAAAAGGTAGCATTGGCCTAATGGAATTAGGCCTTGCTGGCTTTCGTTTGAATGTTCGTTGATCAGAGAGTGGGAAATGCTTTCAGAAATGCGGTTGCAGAATACGGTTCAGCTCGAGAATTAAAAATTTTGAATGGGGTGTAAAAGGTGCTGGACCTATGTTGTGTCATTCCCATCCACTCTGAGTTTCAAAATTCCCCGCGATTGCCGGCAAAACAGTCCTCATTTCGTGTTAGTCTAACAAAACCCTGGTAGGCCTATGTCATGAATTGCAAGCATATCAAAGTTATACAGCAGCAGTGATGCTGGTGATTCTGATACCCTTTCAAAAAGGGGGAATGGAAGCCCCACCCCATACATTTCTCAGTAGCGTGGTAAGCTTAAGGGGGCAGAAGAAGGATTCCACCAGTCCTTCATATATTTTCACCATTCTCATACCTCCAGAGATATGTTTTAATGAGTGTAGGCTATCATTGTGCAAAAGTCATATAAAAATCTTTCCATTTAGATTTCTCACTTCTATACTCTTCTTCAAGAAGTGCAAACTATTTAGGAAGGTATTCTTTGAAGAACATGGTATCAACATTTCTCTTTCTCCATAAAATTTACTACAGGCTAAATCTCACATTTGAATCCCCCATATTGAAACAGTGAAAATTTCATCACTTGTAATGACTTCTCCCTGTCAGAGAAGCATGACAAGGCTCATTGGGTGTGTTACATTTCCATTAATGAAATTAATTTATAATCGTTCTCTTTGTGCATCAGTAAACAAAATCACATATGCATTATTGAGCCCACAGTGGGGTTAAGACTGCTCAGGCTGAAGGGAAATTGTCTGCTCCTCAATATTGCATGGTAAGAGTATGATAGTTGATTACTGTCAAATTTCAAGTGATTCTCTCTTTCCATCCTGAAGGTGACCTGGTGGACAAATGAGACGATTCCACATAACTTGTGGAGACAACAAGAAAATTCTTGTTTCCCCCACAGAAGCCTCAGTGAGAGATGCCTTCTGCATCCCTTTGAATAGGAGTATTTTGCTTCAGGCATATGATGGGGAATTTGAGGACTTTGTTGATATTGAGTTTGAAAACTTGAACAAATCTCCTGCGAAACGACTCAAGGTCATTGTGCGAGGAGCCACACAAGACTTTGGCAACCCTAATTACATCCTCCCCGATGCCAACCATGCCCTTCCTGACATTCAGAGCGGGCACAATGGACTCATCAATGAGCCCCTGGATCCCATTCCAGTAGGATGCATACCAAAGAATGAATATATAAATGAATTGGAATCATCGAGGAACCATGAAATGAAAGAAGTGCAATCTCAGATGGATGGAATATGCACTCAGATATTCCTGAATTCACCCCAAGAACCAGATATCCCTCAGCATGCAAGAGGGACCCAGGACATCCTATCCAAGGACTGGAATGGGTTGCAGCTGCAAGAAATGCAGAATGACTGCAGCCCCCAAATTGGAAGTCCTTCTGCTCTCATAGAATTCAAAATGTGAGTTCACTAAGGGTGGCTATTGAGATAGAGACTGCTGAGACAAAGTTAGATTTTTGTCATTAATGATACTTTTCTCTTGTTGTAGGTCTTCCAGAGGGGTTAAGTGGCCTAGACGTTTTACTTTGGGTGACAGCTTCAAGTCTGCAGTAAAGGAAGTCATTCCAGTCCAGGAAGAACGCTTGAGGAAGAAGCAGAAAGGCATCATCCTTGATGCACTAATGCAGAGGGTGATGCATTATACTATGTAAGTTAATTTTATATACCTTGATGAATATGGTCAAATATTTTATCTTCATGATTTCCAGAGTAATAATCATAACTGGCTCCTGTCTTCTTAACAAGACTTCAGAGGCCTCATTTAACTTTTGAGTTCAACTTAGGAAGCCTGCACATAAAAGAGAAGTAATCATACTGAAGAGAAATTGGAGATAGATCACTGAAATTATGAGGGTGATACAAGGGCTTTCATTTGAGCCTGGATATTGGAGTATTGTCACTTATAAGAAATTTTTAAATGAGGTGGATCCCAGTAGGGCATTCACGGTCATTGTAGCATTTGAAAATGAGATTTTTCAACTCACGTATCAATACAGGATGAAAGAAAACCAAAATTTTAGCAATGTAAACCTCATTTAAGGCTGAAGTTGCATGAGTACCCTTTGGTTATCTGTAGCTTTAAAGAATAGGTTGTATGAGCAAAAAAAGGAAGCAATTTAGCTGCACTATATCTGCAGACTGTATACAACATGAAACTTGAACAGAGAACAAAAGTTTCTTACTCATTACATTTTCATTAAGTGGATGGAATATTTCATTTATGATTCTTGATGTTTCTAATTCCATGCTTAAGGTTTTCCTTAATTTTTTTAGGACCCCTTTGCCAGATCAGTACAAGGATGTGAGTAAATCTTTGGTGGAAGAGTACCCCCAATGGATTCCAAAAGGACTATCCTCTATTGATGCTGAAGTAAGTGTCAATAAAGTTTCACATCATTCTTTACATGATATTGAGAAACAAAATGGAGGAAGGCTTGTTTGTTTTTCTAGAATGTTTGGATCAAGAGATTGTCCATCAGATTCCGCAATGCACGACAGCGTGATAATAAGCATACCCCATACAAGAGGTCAAAGTTACAAATGCAGCAGGATATAACAGCTATAAAGGGCCAGCCGGCATGGGGTGTATGTAATTATTTGCCAACAGAGGAGACTTTTGGTGAGAATGATTCTACAATCCAATGTCATATTGACTGGATGAAAAGTGAAAGCATGAAGAAGAGTCCAGATGCCTCTGCAATCAAAGTTAGAATGGATCGCACATTCTCAGATCGAAGAAAGAAGATAGTTGATGAGAATTTGACAGTTCCTCAGCTCAAGAAGATCTATCCATGCCTTTTTTTTGCAGAGGAGGTAGGTCGTTGGTTCCTATCTCATCAATGGAGCCCTAGTCTTTGCCCTGACTGAGAAGTCACATTATTTGAGCATCTGGTAGAGTCATCAAGGGGCACCCTGCTCATTATGACATCCTGTGTCAAGTTTAAGCATTCATGTTTAATAAGATAGGCTTACCCCTCTTTGAGGCAATTTTTGTGAGAGGATTTCTGCCTTCTGCCTAGTCACTTATGTCTTTATCACTCCCTTTTTTTGTAGTGTCCAAGAAGGCATCTAACCTCTTCATGAAGCTAGTCACAGTAGAAGCAGCCACTACAGCGCTACTTAACCCATTTCATGCATTAACTAAATGCAAGAAAATAATTTCACGACCTGATTCTCACTTGAAGTTTGCGCTTCTTGAACCAGGTTTCCTTGCATTTGGCAGAATCAATCACACTCCAAGTTACTGATTCCCTTGATGATCCCAAGTGCCTGGATGAGGCCTCTCTTAACCTTTCGAGCTCAAAGAGGCCCCACATTTCTAAATACTTCCAATACAAAGCTCTTGTACCTCTTTTATCATTTTCATAGCTCACCTCTGAACCCTTTTGGGTGCAATTAGATTACTTTAACCCTCATCTGGGCAAGCTTTTTTACAACCTATTCCGGGCAAGGTGAGTCTGTCAGACTCACATGTAAAATAAGGCCGGTTGCTGCGGTTATGGTATGTATTTCTTTGTATTTTTGAAGAGCACGAACAAGGTGACAAAGTCACGAAAGCTCATTTTTCTACTAAAAAAATTATGACACTAATAGACCGAAATATGTTGTAGTGAGTCCAGCAGACTCACCTTGCCCGGATTAGGGTTAATTTGCTGGTGCAAGCACTTATTTGTAGTGGAATGCCAACTGAATCCTAGGATCTTATTACATTTGGCTACTATCACCTGCTTATGTGAAAAGAACTTGAGTTCCTCTTCATCACAGTTCCCCCTCTCTGTTTGCCTCTTCCAGCTTATCCTTACCTGGTACATTCAGGGACCTATCATTATTTATTACCAACATGGAGAATCTTAATTTTCTCTTATTGAACTTCATGAGCCATCTTTTCCTCCATTTGTCCAAAGGTTTACCTGTATAACTCTATTATCTCCCCCTGTAGTTCAGAAATGAGGCTGAGCGCCTGTTTGGTACTGATATATACAGTCTGTCTCTCAACGAGCTCCCCAACCTGCTACAGAAAGTGAAGAGAGCGGTCAAGCCCCTCAAGGACATGATCAATGGTGGTAAGATTTTGTTCATCACTTCTTTATGAAACCAAGCTAGGGTTGATTGGGCTATTCATGATTTTTTTTTTTTCAGATGCTCCATGCCTTGAACTGTACAAACTGCTCTGCTCTCACTTCAAAGAGCCTCCCTGTCTCGTCAGTCATTCAAACTCAGTGAGTACCTCCAATATATTTATTCATCAAAATTTTAAATTGAGTATCTTGTCATATATGGTCACCCACCTCGAGCTCCAAAGATTCATTGAATTGTAGGTCATATTTTGTTAATCTTATTGAAATAATGTTGCAATTGTTGACAATTACCTCAGCACTTAGGTGTCAATTATAATTTTTTCTTAAAATTCTGTCATGAACTACCAAATGGCTTCAGTGACTACAGTCATCCTTGTTAAAGCCTTGGTGAAATGTTGAAATTAGGATTTTGTCATTTTCCCTGAGGTAAAATCCAGCACATGCATGAAATGCAGCATGTAGCAAGCTGTCATGGTATTACCCTTTAAGGGATTCAGTCAGCTTTCTTGAAATCCCCTTAAGGCAGAAAGATCATTTGATTGTGATTTCAGTTGCCTGAAAATCATGGAGGAGTTCCTGTGATCATGAAGTGCAAAAATTGGAAACTGGTTGTTGGTGGGGTGGAATTGGATTTGCTGGAGTCTGATGGACTATTGTTCTATATTCTCAGCTCCTTCTTCATATTTGATATAGAGTTTCCTCCATGGAATGTAAAAACGTTGGATACCCTCCAGAGATGCCTTTTCAGCATAACAGTGGCTCCAGTGTCTTTGCCAGTTAGGCGCCTTTTGGTAAAGTTGGAATAAGTTCAAAGAGTAAATTCATTGTTGCTTCTGGAAAACTGTTCTTGCAACTCAGGGTGATATAATAATTTTGTGGTGAAACTGAAGTGCATACTTCTTATGCAGTAGAAATGAGTTGTTTTTCTATTCCACAATTATTGTTTGCAATTTTTTAATTTTCTACGGAATGAAATAAAAAAATTCCCCCAGTAGACAAATGATTGGACTCTTCACATGATTAACATCATTTGTTTCTCGTGTACTATCAAACTTCTGTGCCCAGAATTACCTAGCCCCTAAGTGTGGCTAAACCTGCAATGTAACTCTGAATCCAACAGATCCTTTTTTTTTTAAATCAAGTTGGTCCAACATGATGCATCCTGATTGTCGTGCTCTTCTCAACCTGAATTTAATCTGAGTTATGGGATCAGTGAGAAAACCATGTAATGCAGATTCTAACTGCATCCATTTGAAGCATTTTATGTGCATTTAAATTTTTGCCCTGAAAATTTTTCAGCATAATAAAACCTGACTGTGATTGAATTAGGAAGAACTAATAGGGAAAAAAATCCCACTCCACCTCATAAATTACCTCATATCCCATTTTTGTCACCTATGCCTTCCAAATTCAGTAATGCATGCTATCTTGACCCCACCTCAACTGGGTCCCTTTGAAGAAACCATTTTACCCAACAATATTGCCTAACAGCTGAATAACACAACAACTTCAGACATCAACTGGCAGAAGTGAAGACAAAAAAAGCAAAACATCAGCTGGCATGAGTGAAGGTAAGGGAGACTAGACAAAATATTTGAATGATGAAGCATGCAATCAAAATATAAAACCTATTACGTTACTTGTTATTGCCTGTGTGCCTTCACCATATTCCATGTATACACACTTGGTGTTCATCGATGATGCATGCATAGAAGCATGGATACCATCTTTTTGTCAGTGATGCAGCAGGGAGACATGAGGAAACACAAGGTATTTTATTCTTGAGGACTTCACCAGGACGGACTTCTTTGTACGAATGAGAACTTGCCCATCTCTCTATCACAGTCCAAAGTGCTTCTTTGACGACATGGCAAAAGAGGAAAATTCTAACACACTCCATATAGCATCGTGCAATGATTCTGCATTTAGTTCTCTACTGAGGAATGAAAAAAAAGGCCATGATGATTGAACATCACTAAACTGTCACAATTTACCTCATGAAGCTTGGAAAAATATCCCGTAGACCTTTCCAGGTGACAGAAATGATCCATTTGTGAATATCACCTTCTGCTGATCGAAAATACATCGCTCGAAACATTACCCGGGCAGGACTTCCAAGTATCACCAACTGCATTATGAGCTTCAATGCAAATAAACACCTTTCCAAAAATAACCAGTCAGGCACCCCAATTCTCAATACTTCAGGTCGTCCATCATTCCAAAGAGTGTTCTTTGCTACATGTGATTTTTTAAACTGCTGCGAAAAGCACCTTGGGATCTTCACCAAACTTTTCTCAACAGAGCATGGGTTAAACTAACTTGCTAATCTTCACTCTCAGATGAAATCACAATGTTGATGAACCTACCAGATCTCACAGACAATATCTAAAGTAGGCTCAGTGAAGCACGCCAATTGTAATGTCTCATCCTACTGGAATTTGATGTGGGTTTTGGACAGCCAAGGTGCAGTCAGCTTAAAAAGTCACACATGGAACACCCTGCATAAACTCCATTCAGACTTCTTCGCGCACTTCCAGCTTCAAAATACAGACCAGAAACCGATTCCAATCCCCATTACATGTGGCTTCACGGCTATCTCTCCGCACGTACATTCATTCCAAGACGGTGAAGAATAGTGATGCACATTATGCATAAAAACTTCTTGAAGGTATCTGACACGGTGTGTTTTTAACGTGGCAACAATATGGCAGCAAAGATTGCACTAGATCCCCCTGCCATTGCATTGACCGTTCTAAGTCTGTGCAAAAAATGGAATGGAGTTAAAATTAAAAGCCTCATTCACTCGAAGGCTGGAATTTTTTCTGCACTGAATCGTGGCTAAATTTCCGATCTACTTCGTGTAGATGCGCTCAACTAATAAATTACCAAATTTCGCCAAAAGTCAACGAAGACCAGAATTCCAAAGCCATGCTGTAACTGGAAATTCCCCTCGAGCACGAGGGTGACGGCCATCATCTTGCACCGATGGTGAGAGACGAATTTTTTCCCTTCGATTTCATTCCATTCCTTGCACAGACTTTTCTACGAGGACTCGCGACCGTTGCAAAGGGAGGAAAACCGAGGAGACGCGAACTCCGCACTCGTTTGGCCGGGGAACGAACGCACTTCACAGTCGAAACGGATTCCTCCAAGAGAAATCCATGAAGGCGAGCTTGGTGCTGAGGGAGAGTTCCGCGAGGGCCTGGTCCACCTCCGCGTCCAGGGGGCTCCTGCGACTCGCGGTCGCGGCGACACGCGAAGGGCGGGGCTCGCCCTCGTCCGCTTTCCACTCCGGGAGTCCCAGGTCTTTCAGCATCTCTTCCACCATCCCGCGGACTCGGGTCTGCGAGGGAACGCGAATTTAACCGCCACATACGGCATACAAATGTTAAAATTAAGAGTTTTCGCCCGATGACACGGCGAACACTCCAGCAGCATTGAAGAGGCTTCGTAAACATTCCAGAGCCAACGACAGATGAAAACTTGACAGCAGCTACGCCCATAGCGCAATTTCCAAGATCTACTCTCCCCGATTTTGAACCCTGGAACCCACCTGGTCGAGGTTTTTGGCACGCCTCATCTGGGAATCGCAGAGTCGACGGACGTCGGCCGGGTCCGTGACTCCCGCCTTCAGGATCTCCCTGCTCAGCCCCGTCACGAATCTCCAGCACTCCGTCTCCTTCTCCCTGCGAATTGATAATCTGTTTGTTCGGTTCCGTTCCTCCTTTCGAGAGACGTGCAGCATCGTTAAATATTCAGGGTTCTGGAAGTTTTCTTTCGGTCACGAAAGGTACTCATTCTGATCCCGAGGGACATTTTCTCCTCAAATTCTCGTGAGCCTCACGGAGAAAGATTGACGCGCTCAGTCGACCCGATTACGAGATTACCATCTCGGAAAGAAAAAAAAATCCTTCCACATCTGCATGATAGGATGCGTGACCTGATTCAGTTCCAACTGGACAGAGAAGATATGAGTGGGGAGGCCTTCGTCCGCTCTTCTCCTCACGAAGGCCTCCTTCTTGGAAGCCTTCCCTGAGCCTTCCAAGAATGGAAATTACTGCATTTCCAAGGCCACTGCGCGCTTTTGACCGTATTTTGCAACAGAAATGACAAAATATACATTTTTTAAGATTCGAATTACGATCGAATCGAATCTCTTATCATTTGCGTTGAAATATACGATTCTCTGACGAATGCTGAATCCCGGCACGAGAGCGGGAATCTGGCATCGCTGCACCGAATCGGACCGTGAATCGGGTTCTTCGGTGGCCGAGTCGAATCACGAATCGGGAGTTTCATCGCCTCGCTTTCAGAATTCGGGTTTTCCGCGACGACGAGAGAAGGCGAAACGCGGGGAAACTTTTCATATTACTTGAAATTAAAATGTTAAGGGGGACCAGGGGGAACAAAGGGGAGCTTTAAGAAAATTAAACATTTTTCATTAAAAAATTACCTTGCCGACTGTCCAATCGATTGGTTCACACGATTGGGTATAGGGCAGGGGTGTCAAACTCAAATCTGTTGGCATTCCTAACATTGCGGGTACCTGCGGGCCGCACCCATAATTTTTCACCGAAATTTGTGCCGACAGTCAATCCAAGCGGAAATTTCTAGAATAGAACAGACGGCAGGGCCGTATGTTTGACACCCCTGGTATAGGGCAAGGAATTACCGCTCTTTGAGTGCGGTTTCCACTTGGTGATGAGAGATGAGCTTGGTTTGAAGGAATCTTTCCGGGGTGGGTCCTCGACTCTCGGAGGAGATCCCCCGGTCGTCGTAGGCCGAGTCGTGACTGGAGTCCTGGATGCCTTTAGGGGCTGGGGCGTCCGGGACGGGAGGGGCTGCGAGCGTCGTCTGCTTCTCGGAGGAGGTAGAGGTGTCTGCGGGGGAATCTTCTTCTTCGTCGTCGTTGGCGTCGCCTCGCTTGGGGGAGGGACGCTCCGCGAAGTCCTCGTCTTCTGAGTAGATGTCCTCCTGGGGAACGAACACAGACGTGGCAGGGGGAAACGAGTCGATACAGTTTTCGAATCGAATTCATACCTAATCCCCCCCCTGATAATGATGAATAGAGAAACTACTTCCAGATGATCCGCTTCATCAGATGATTAAAAAAAAAAAACCTCGTGAAAGGTGTCACTACCTGCAATCGATGGAAGCGCTCCCATGGGGTACGAATTCAATCAGTGGAGTAGCGTGGTAGGGCATGGACCCTGGTGCAAGGAATGAAACGGGCCCGCTGTCCAATTTATTACTATTGAATTACGTGGAAGTCATACTTTTTTGCTAGTTTTCTCCGGCAGCATATACGTCGTCGTCGGTAACCAAGTGCGCAACCAAGGGGGGGGGGGGGGGGGCTTTTTTTGTTTTTTCGCACTAATTGCCAACAGTCGATCGTTCCGCCAATTACGATGTTGACGCGCTCGGCATTAGGAGTCCCGCCGTGCATTATTGATGCTCATTGAATACGGAGAGGAGCCCTGCCCCCCCCCTCGATGGGATCGGATCGTTACCTCGTCGCTTTTGGTCCTGATGCTCTCCTTGTTCTGCGTCTCCTCGCGAAGTCGGACGGGGCTGGACTTCTTCAGCATCTTCCACGGCGAATGGTAATTGCGATCGCGGAGAAGCCGCGATTGCACGTGTTCGTACGGGGCGTGCACGCGTCCCGCGCGTGGTTCCGGCTTCGGACGCGGCAACTCACGCGGCAACTCGCGCGGCAACTCGCGAGGCAACTCTCGCGGCCGGTCGCACTCGGAGAGAAAGGCGGCGATGCGGTCCGCCGCGGACCCGCGGGAACCGCGGCACAACGCGTGGAGGTCCGCACTGCGGAGCGTGTCGTTGAGGAATCGCTCGAGGATGACGTGCGACTCCGCTCGGGGCTCCTCCCGCGGAGGCTTCGCGGCGACGTCGAGGGCGATCCGGGGAGTCCCGTTGCGACCGAGGAACCGGATGTCCCTCAACGGGATGCGGGACTTGTGAAGGAGGTGGGACAGAGGAGCCGACGCGTCCACGGTCGCCTTCGCGTTCCACAGCCGACGGTAATGATGAACGCGGTCTTCCACGTGTTTTGCATCCATGACCGAACGAACACACCACGGATGGAGAACGCTCATCGATCGTCGAGTGTAACCGCGTTTCCCCGACTCGCTCTCTCCCCTTACCTGTCCCTAGAGCCCTCCGCGGTCGCGGCGCCCGAGCGTCACGCTCCACCCACGGACCGCGGGACCTCCCCGCGGGACCCGCGGGACCCGCGGGACCCCCCGCGAAGGCCTCGCTCCTATCGATACATGCGCCCGGGCTTCGGAGACCACGGCCTATCACGCGTCCCGCACAGATGACGTTATGGTTCCCCGGGCAAGCAAGCTGCGAAGGAAATGACGTTTTTTATTCGAGGGGGGGACGCGTGGAAATCCTCGCCTCATTTGCATAACTTACATTCGGGTCAGGCGCATCATGCCAATCGTGTCGACTCGTTTCATTCGTCAAACCGTGCCGACCGTCGAGCTTAAATGCGATAGCACACGCAGATCTCTGTCGCATCACGAAGACAAAATGTCCACGGTAATAAATAACATTCCAATGACATTCCAAATAATATTTTTTCTGAAGCGACCGGTCAAAGCGCCATTCCACGAGTGCCGAAAACATTTGCAGACATGCCAAAACAACCAATCGTCGGAGACGTAATCTGCGAACGAAAGAAACTTCGGGCCGCGCAGAAACTTATTGGGCCACCATCGTCTTGAGCCCCGAAAGATGGGACGGGGAGAGGGGGGACGGGGCGGGGGCGGGGCGGGGGCAGGGCTCCTCTCCGTATTCAATGAGCATCAATAATGCACGGCGGGACTCCTAATGCCGAGCGCGTCAACATCGTAATTGGCGGAACGATCGACTGTTGGCAATTAGTGCGATCGATATCGACCGGACGCGTTTTTGCACGGGACGATAATGAGTAAAGGACATAGATAGAGGTCAATTTTTTGCTCGAGAGACGGCACGGCGCTCGACCCGGTCCTCGTCAAATTTTCATTCATTTCTTTCTCTGCTTCCCCGACACGCAATAAATGAATAGGAAGCGAGATCGATCCTCGTTGTGCGAGTCGTGCATATTCTTCGGCTCTTCCTGGGAACGAGGAACGGAATCGGGATGGACTCGGGCGTCTCGTGAGCTTTCAAAGTTTAAAACGAGAAAATGTCAAATAAAAATTGGATCAAAGAGGGTGAAAATGTCCGGACCAGTGGCATAGCCAGGATTTCGCCATGGGGGGGGGGGGGGGGGGGGGGGGGGGGGGCGGATGCACTGGTCCGGACGAAAGGCATTCGCGAAGCGGGCGAGCATCCAGCCAGGCGTTGCGAGAGTGAAAAGAATCGCCACTCTCGACATTTTCCGAGGATTTTAGCGGCAGTGAAAAACGATCACTCGATCGATCTTCACCACTCGACTCATTCCGGCAAAACCCGATCTTCGAACCAAAAAAAAAAAAAAGAACCCCCCTCTTCAGAAAAAGACCTAAAGCCCATAGGACTTTCCCCATCCCAGCCCAACGACCGCGAGAGCTCGCCGTCACAAGAACGCGAACGGCAAGCGGGAAGAGGCTCGACCTGAGACCTCGAAACGCGTAGAGCCCTTCGAGGCACGCACCTCGACTCGCCCTCGAGGGGAGAGAAATCGAACCCGAGGAGGTCCCGCGTCTCTCGCCGTCCGAAGTTTCGTTTTAGGACTTCGAATGGATATTTTCGCGTAACTTGCCCTCTGCATAGGTTATCATTTTAAATTTCATTAAAATGGAATTTTCCGAGGGAAGAGTGCGCTGCAGTGCATCATATTTCATTAAGAATATATTTATATACACATTTAAATTCCATCACGAGCCTGAGGGTCGGGAGGTCCCGTTGGCGGCCGATTTAGTTGCAGGGTTGGAGTCCCTCGTCCATTTTAGACTTCCCATTTATTTTCTGTAATCGTTCATGGCCTTCCTGTAGCAGAACAAACACACGTGAAATTTCAAAAAGGTGTCGAAAAAAAAAAAATCAGTTCATGCCCTGAACAAGTTTTGCACGAATCGCTGCAGCAAGTGCCGAATCACGAAGGTCGCTGACCTGAAAAACCTTTCGAACTTCATAAAACTCTTCAATGCAAACTTCCGTGACTCGATTAATTTGTTCTTCTTTTTACAGAAGAGGCATTCACTCAATGAGGGCGACCACCTTCAAAATTTCCATAAAAATTTGGAATGTGACATTAATCCTGGGAATCCAGTCTGAGCTCTCAAACCAACAGGGAAGAAAACACGCAGAAATTTCAACAGAAGCGTAAGTTCAATCACGTAAAACGACAACCATTTCACACGAGAAGATCCACTAATTCATGTTAGAACAACTACCATTCCGCCCCCGACCCAGCCCACTCGGTCACGTGACCCAGGTCACTTGGGAAGCGCCTCGAGCGTGTGCTTGGCGAAGCAGAAGACGTGGAAGTCCTCGTCCCGCGTCAGGTCCATCGCCCCGCGCTTCACGTAGAAGTCGACCGCGTCCCGGTTCCAGTTGAGGACGTGGAAGCTGAGGCGGGTGCAGCCGCGGGCCAACACCTCCTAATTGGGTTAATTATTAATTATTAATTAAAAGCTCACGGGATTCCACGTGTCTTCAGAATGACCGGTGATTAAAAAATAAATTCATTAAGAAATGACGATAAATGGAAGGAAGGGAGGAAATACCACCAACTCGTTTGGATTCTGCGGGAGTTGAAGTGAGGAAAGTCTGACCTTCATTTGCATTCTTTGGCTCTCCCTTTTAGCCAGAGGACGAAAAAAAAACAACTTAACATTTATATTTAAATTTATAATTAAAAAGGCATCGAGTCTTGGCTGCAATCTCCCCATTAAACGCCGACGATTAAAACCGGAATCCGATCTCTGTAACGAACTAGAGACGCCATTCTCATCGAATCAGCTCTGCTCTTCGATTTCGGGCGAGGATTAAATTCGCTCCAAGACTCCATCGATATAAATCTGAATCAGCAACAAAAAAAAGAGTTCTGTGTTCCCCCCCACAAGAAGCATGTCGCATGCCTGGCAGTGAAATACGGCATGCCGAGGAAGATGGGCCAGATACGGAGCTCGTATGGGGCGGGGCGGGGCGGGGCGGGGGGGGGGGGGGGGGGGGGGGGGGGGGGGGGGGGGGGGGGGGGGGGGGGGGGGGGGGGATCGACTCGCTTCCGCCCGCATTGCCAGCACGGGAACCAGGCTATTATGCAAATAAAACGTTTAAAAAAGATGGAGATTAAATAAATAATAGGACAAGCAAATTATGATTTCATTCATAATATATAGGCGTACAAATATGCCTATATATTGCGTAAAGTAACACGAATAAAAAAAAATATTTATAAAAAAATTAGATATATGAGAAATATTTTTACGAATAAGTATGAATGAATGAATGGAGACGGAATAAAATCTGTCTTTAGTCCGAGTGAGTGATGTGGCTTTCTCGCTTGATTTCAAACGGCTATACGCGATATACCGCCTCGCTGCTTCTTTGTCGCCCTCTCCGGATCTTAAATAGGGCCGCGTTGCTTTCCCGCTGGCCGTTTTCGGGTCGCTGCTGTCGTGATGCGTGGAGGGAAACCTTTGCGAGAACCGACTTTCGAGAGGATTTTTTTAAATTTGGAACTTGGCGCAGCAGCCAAGGGGCATCGTCCCGATGCAATTCGAAGACTGCAGTGCCAAGTGCATTCCGAATTTCGCATTTTCGCATTTTCGCAATCGCATCACCGACTCGTAAAGAAATACAAAGCCTGCATTTTAGATACGAGACGGCCTCCGCTCTCGGCCGGCATCACGTTTCCGCGCGTCCCTTACAGCTTCGGGGACCCCCCGCCCACCGAACCCCACAACCCCTCTAAATCCCAAACACCCACCAAATCCCCCAAAATCCCAGAAATCCTGGAATAAATCCCTTAGAGAGAGAAGGAGGAAGACCTGCGCCACGCATCCGAGCATGCGACCTCCCACCCCGCACCCCCTGTGCGAGGCCGTGACGAAGAAGTCCTCCATGTACGCCTGCCTCCCGTCCGACGTGTCGTACGTGTAGTAGAAGAGCACGAACCCCACCAGGCCCGCGGCGGGGTCCTCCGCGACCCAGCACCGGAACCAGGGATGCTCGCTCCCGAATCCGTCTCTCTCCAGTGCTGTCGGACGCAGCGATGCCGGATGACGTTTCTCTCGCGGCGGAACGGAAACGAAACGACTCACTGTCTTTGGTGATGACGATCTCCTCCGGGATCTTCTCGAATTCCGCCAGTTCCTGCCCGAAGGGACGTCACGCGTGAGTCACGGCGCGAGGGACGAGAAAAACCCGCGAGCGACTCACGTGGATGAGCTTCATGATCCCCGCGCAGTCGTCCCTCCTGGCCTCGCGGATCGCGATCCCGTCGCTCATGGACGCACCCCGTTCGACGAGTGTCATCGGCACCATTCGAAAGACGAAAAAGTCGTGGGTGTCTCACGTGGGAGAGGAAGGGAGGAAGCGGGAGAGGTCGATAGCGACACGATGGGAGTCCTGGTTGCGGTGACAACACGGAAGGGATGGAGGGGAGCCTATGTCGATCACTGGCCACGTTTGGATACACGTGGTTTCATCCCGATCGTGGGAAGCGGAGACACAGGGCCGAGGGAGGCCGAAGGGAGCCGAGGGGGACCGAAGAGGGCCGAGGGAGGCCGAAGGGAGCCGAGGGAGGCCGAAGAGGGCCGAGGGGGTCGGAGGGGAAGCCTTTCCACGAGGATTCTACGGAATGCAGTGCGGAGATGCGGCGAGGAAAATTGAATTTAAGGAGGTGATGGAACGAGTCGAACGGGTTTTCAAAGGGTAGAAGTGGCGTCTAATTGTCGGGTGGTTCATTTACGGCGACGGGTGATCGATGAAGGCCGTCGAGTGACGGAGGACCGGATCCCGATTTTCCCCTTAGACCCTCAAGGTTCCTGCACTTCCTACAAATTTAGGGCGACTCGGGAGTTTGGGGGGGGGGCGAACCCCTTCTTCCCGGTCTTCTCATGTCGACGGGTGGCTGCTGGTTGACCTGGCACGGTCGGGTTTTACCAGGGGCCTATTCCACAGAAGATTTACAAGTTACAAGTAGTTGCAAGGTTTATGCCTTGATCGCATCAGTGTCAGCGGGACCCACTAGAAGAGTTGAAAAAGAAGACGAGACCCTTGCAACTACTTGTAACTTTTAATTCTTCTGTGGAATAGGCTCCAGGGGTCCATTCCACAGAAGATTTACAAGCTACAAGTTACAAGTCTATTACTTGCAGAATCAAGTTTCTGTTCCACAAAAGAAAATTGTACAAGGAAGATTTACAAGTACAAGTTCATCCATTTACAAGCGAATTGAGTTCGGGAAAACGGATCCTGTTCCACAGAACCAGACGATTTACAAGTCTTTCATGCCTGGTAAATGTATTTTCTGCACTCTTGTGTCCAGCGGAAATGATGGATTTTCCAGTTATTACCATTGCATAGGACAATATAGACATCGTTCTAATGTGGTACACTACAGTAGAGTTGGGCTTATGCGATTACGTCACAAAAACTTGAAAGAATAAAATCCAGCGCCGCAGGAAATGAAACACCTGACTACATGTATTGCCAGCTAAAGAATGATCACAACAACTTTTCTTGGAGCCTTCTATGACAGAATCAACCTTGAATGTAAGTGTGGACTCTGGTGTACAACCAACGGACTCGAACAGCTTCCCCATTTTGTTGGGCATATTCGATGCACCCTATCTGGAATACGTAGACATTCGATTCTGCATATCCAGCTCCTCGTTATATAAGATATCCGTACGCTTTCATTGATGAAACCTCTTTTGGTGTCATTCCACGAGTGCCACTCGATAGAGAACTCTGGAATGCACTTAGAACTTGTAATATGAGCTGGCTTCAGTGCCTTGTACTTTACGATTTACAAGTACTAGCGCAAACTCTGTGGAACAGAAAATACAAATACTTGTAAATACAGCCACACAACTTGTAACTTGTAAATCTGTGGAATAGGCCCCAGGTGGTGCAAAAAAAAAAATCGCCCTGTTTGACGCCTTATAAAATCTGCCGTGGATCATCTAATTTTTTTTTTCGCATCACATTCGTACCACAAAATTTGTTTTCTGAAAGCTTCACACGTCTGGTTTGTCGGAATAAAAAGCGACAGTCGTTTAGTCATAAAATGTGCCTTTCCCTCGCACGAAGTGGACCGCTCCGATGATTTCTCTAAATGAGGCCTTAAAGACTGCCCTTTGTGCCGTGTCCTCTTCGTAGTATTCTGCGTAGCATCGCGACTCTAGCACTGTTCGCCGCAGAATACCACGACGAGGGCATACGTAGCAGCCTTCATGGCGTCGAGGGAGAGAAATCGTGGAAACTCCACCTCGTGACACAAAGGGGCCAGAGATGAGGACTTTTTCAACCGGTTTACCCTCAAGTTCCAGCAATATACCGTCAACACGAGCGATTTACCTTTCATCGAGACAGTAACTGGTAAATTGCTCATCCACTCGATCGCGTAGCTTTACGGCCGATCGTCGCTCGAACGCATCTAAAATCTTGACTTTTCTGCAAATCGTGCAGGAAAATTTTTCCTCCCATGAAATATGCGAGAAAACGGTCCAAATTCCGGGAGGCGAAAGGCCTCATCTTCGAATTCCTCTCGGAAAATCTCTTAAAACTTCTACGGATCGATCCCGCGACACAAATACGATACACGGTAGATATACGAGAAGGCACTCACCCTCCGAAAGCGACTCGAGCGGGTCTCCGGGCAGCGCTTGGCCCCGCTCGAGGCGCACCGAAGTTCGATCGCAGCGACATCTCTGGAACGAGCGGGGATTCGCATCGCGTCCATGGCGGAAGAAGGCGGGAGGGGAAAGTGCCTTCGCGTGCCGAGATGCTTCGGAGGGCTTTCTTCAGAGGCGTATTCGGGTCGGGAAGCGAGCAATTTAAGTATTTATGCTCGTAAATGATTAAGTGATGCAGGGCCTCATGCGCTTTTCCCCCTTCCGCTTCTTTCCTCGCTTTAGACACGTTACAGAAAACGAACTTCTTCATTAGCTTCAAGGCTATCCTTTTCGATGGAAATTACATTTTTTGGCCTCGGAAACGTCACTTTATTCTCTCTCATCGCGTGAAGCAACGGTGAAAATTCGAATCTCACTCCTTAGAAGCAAGCTCCTCTAAATTGGGTTTCCGGAAGCGAAACACGTGCCAGGCCTCGTCCCGCGTCAGGTCCACCGCCCCCCTCTTCACGTAGAAGTCGATGGCAGTTTCGTTCCAGTTGAGAACGGAGAAATTGAGGCGGCTGCAGCCGCGGGCCAGCAACTCCTGAGGGATCGAGACCCCGGATAAAATTATGGAGCGTTTATGCTACGGAGATCAGAAGACAAAAGAGCACTAGAACAAAAGGAAGGCAAGACATCATTCTAAGTCTCTATTACAGTTTTTGGCATTTCAAGTTAGCTCTCTCCTTCCTGGGGTAACCCAGTGCAACCAGGTTCGGCGCCCTGTGCAAAGGGATTCCCGAAGCGCGTCCCCCCGCCCCCCAGAATGGAGAAAGGTCAATCCCTAGCGTTCAAATTGACGCCAAAACGGAAGGTATTTTCACTTTCTAAAGTAAAACTGAGGGTGGCATCCATTATTGCTTCGTATATTTAGTCAGGTTTCGGCACCCCGGGTAAATTTTGGCATGTGCCTTAGGCATGTGCCACACATGCCCCCTGTGCGGAGGGGCTCATGTGGCCCATGTCTAAGGTCGGCAGGAGTAACTATAATTTTACTTCCAGTCAAAAATAAAGTGGCTCTTCACGTGCCCTACCTCACTCGTTGCATATTTCATTATTATTTCCTATGTAGCCTAGTTCTAGGCCTTGCATATCCCTCAAGAAAGATGTAGAAAGCAATATCCTTAACATATGAGTTGATGAAATTCTGCATATTTAAGTGCTGAATTGGAACCAGCAGTCAGGTCAAATAGGTTGTGAATTAAATGCTCTTCGAGTGAAATGAACAATGACCTCAGGAACAAAAACACGAGAAGGGTTGAAAGAAGTACCTGAGCCAAACTCTTGAGCATGCGACTGGCAACACCACTTTTACGATACGAAGGCTTGATGTACAAGTCTTCTAAGTAAGCCTGTCGACCATCCCAAGTGGAATATGTGTAGTAAAAGAGCATGTACCCCACCAATCCGACACCGGGGTCTTCGGCGACAAAGCAGTGAAACCAGGGGTCTGCACTCTCGAATCCATCTCTCTCCAGTGCTGTTCGAGGAAACAGAGTTGCTCAATGATTAAATTAATATTTTTTTTTTACTCGATGCAGAACTTAGGAGAGCAGGACTCACTCTCTTTGGTGATGGCTATCTGGTCTGGCATTTTTTCAAATTCTGCCAGTTCCTTCTTGAAGAAATGCGAATTTGATGGGGTTACACAAGGAACTTGAAAATGTTTCACATCAAATTCATGGTAATGCACTTACTCGAATGAGATTTATGATACCAGCACAGTCATCCTTCCTTGCTTTGCGAACCACAACACCTTCGGCGCTCATTCTTGCAGTCCACCGAGTTATCTATTCGAAGAATGTCATCAGTACGATTCAAATTCTCCTGATACAGTTCCGACTAAAACAGTTTCAGAAGACATCGGTTTCATTGCAATGTCCCATCCATGCAGGCTTCTCATGGAATGCAGAAGCCACCTGGGAAGCATCATTCAGTCTTCCTGCTATGGATTTTTCCATGTCTGAAGAGCTGACAAATGAATCCCTCATTGGGGCAGGACACCCTGTATACTGGCCATACAATTCAATGCCTTCTTCTGGGTCAACTGGTCTTTTTTTTTTCACAAGGTATGCAATGAGAATGGATAGAAAAATGCTAACCTTGCAGTGTCAAGACACCCCTACCTTCTCGAGGCTGTCACACTCATCAATGAACACTCATCAGAGTTGGTTGAGAGTTGGTCTCGGGGAGATTGGTGGCGGGAACCTCCTCATGGATGAATACACAGCATCTCCTTTCCTTCCTCCTGGCTGCAATGCAGAGGATCTGGGTTGCACCTTGCTTCTACAGCAGGTTCTTCTTGCAAGCATCTGCACTCTCCTTTTGATGTATTTGAACAAGCAATCCTGGAAAGGATGTTTCATATAGTTCTTTCTAATGACATGAAACCAATATGAACAGAAAAAAAATCAAGAAAAGAGTAGGGAATAAAAAAATTGAGAAGAGTCAAGGAATGGATGAAGCAGTCTCACCAAGGATGAGTTGAGGATGGACTTCAGCCATTTGATGATGAAATGGAAAAGCCATGCACAAGTCCATCAAGATTAAGTGGGGTGATGAAAACTCCTATCACCTCAATGTCCATATAAAAGGTTGGTTTTTTTTGTTGTAGAACAATTGCTTCGTTGCAGGAAACAATGTTCCTCTGAATTGGAGTCACATGGCCCAGTGATGTATAAACTTTTTCAATACCTTATGAAGCCTGTCATTCTGGATGCAATAGAAAGCTAGAGCCACTGATATATGAACTTCATCTGGGGATGCCTTAATCCACCATGAAGCTTTTTCTTCATGACTGGAAACAGATGGAAGTGGCAAAGACTCAAACCCCTGTCACTTACTTCAATCAGGAGAATACAGGAGGTGGGGAATTCCACCTCCACACCTCACACTTCTGCTTGAAATTTGGAGCTGGCCAAGGCATTGAAGTGCATCCTGAAAAATAGGCTCTGTAAGGTTTTGAAAAAGGTCATGGATCACTGGGGCAAGTGTGTCTAATTCAGGGGACATTAGTGACAAAAATGAGTCTTTCTATTAATATGAGTGATAAGGAAGCAGAACTTCTTGATCACCCCTTGTAATGAAGCTTCCCAGGTATCTAACAAGCTGCCCTTCAGTATGCTGGTGACCAGCTGGACAGGAAGTTGTTATTTTGAGAAGGCCCATGACTTGAGAAATAGCATTAAAACTGATTTCAAATGTTATGGAGCTCTGAGGACATTAAATGGCATCTGAAGACACTGGAGAGGGATTATGAAAGCATGAAAGTTAGTAAGGAAGGTAATAACATGGGATGTTGGAATGAAACAGTAAAAATCCATGAGCCATGCATAGAAAGATGAAGAAAAGGGTCATTTTTGGCAGTATGGTAGTGAAGTACAAGTAATACCAGCTCGTAAAATAAAGGACCTAAATTTGTGGCTAACCAATTCTAATGTTTTCAAGAACTCACTCATACCTCAGTAATTATTCACAGCGAGCAAAAAACTTTCACTAATACAGCTTTAACTGCCATTCATAGTCTGTTTCTGATGTTGAAACTTTGAAATGACTCATCACCATCGGTACACAGTGTGTCCATACTCTTATGAAAAAAATTATTACAAAGGGAAAGTCTTGCTCACAAAAAAAAAGTGTATGGATGTAGTACAAGAAAGAAAGAGGCAAAAAAGTGAGATGAGAGGATATAGAGCTATCCATGAAAGCACAAAATTTATTCTCTCTTGACCTTTTAAAACAATGGTAACTATTTCACCTTCACTTGGTAGAAGCCAGCACTTCCAAAGTGAGTTTTCAGAAGCCAAACATGAGAAAGGCTTCATCCTGGGTCAGATCTACTGCTACTCTTTTCACACAGAGATATCAATGGCTGCTCAACTCCAGTTTGGCACAGAGAAGCTCAAGCAAGTACATCCACAAGCCAACACATCCTGTGGGTATGAAGCCATTAAGAGGACTTTAGTACACTTTCTATATAAACAGTTTAATTGATGAAAGAATGGCCAGGATTGCTAGGTCAAAAAAATACAAAGGTGCTCAATGAGTGCCTTATGCTGTCCATAAACAGATGATTTGGGGCAATTTTAAGAGTTCACCCCATTGCCCATTTACTGAAATTATTCAGGGTTCCTCAGACAAGAATGAATATTGAGAATACTTCATAACACGATGCCAGTCCTCTACACGTGGTAATGGGTGTTATCGCCTCTTGATACCACTTAACAACCTTGAACCTTGGTAGTACAATATATCTGATGCATGCTACCACCTCCTCATCAGGATACCCTGGACCTGGGATGAGGAATCTAATAATCAGAAAAGGTACATGATGGTTGTAATGAGGGTTTAATGAGTAAGGATATCAAATGGATCAAACTCATGAAAGATTTTTAAAAAAGGGGAGGGAAATCACCATAATGAGAAAGGAAAACCACATGATGAAAAGGGGGGGGGGGGAATTTGTGCATCATATCAATTAATGCAAGGAAATTTGAAAAAATTTAGGGAAACCCTGGTCATTCATTTGCTACTTGTATATGGAGTAACAGGAAGTGGAGGAAGTGGTGTGAGTAAATGAAGGGAATCTTATTTCATTCCTTGTTGCTACCAATTATGTGATGATGCATTTGGTTAATGTAGATTAAAGTTCCTGTTGCATGCTAGATGTCAGAGAGGTCTATCACTTTGGATTATAGTAATTAAGAAGCACTTCTACAATATTGCCTTTTCCAAAAGTCTATATACCTATTAATTATTAATTATAAACCATGCAGTTCAGTATTGTGAGAGAGTGCATATTTACCTGATAAGTAACTATTAATGTACTAAAGCAGGGCACATGTAGCATTACCTGACCTTACCGTACAATGAATTCATTTCAATATCTCAAGAGTAAATCATCAAACTAGGATGGATTTTATGTCAGTTAGTAGTTTGGGCAATTTGGGAAATTTTAAGTCATATGTCATTTTTCCATGAATCCACATATATATGTTAATGCCAATTCATTAGGCCAGTTAGTTCCAAAAATGTGTATACATTGATTTTGATGAAAAAGTGATTTTTGCAATGTTCAGGTTCAGGGAATCCTTCAATTCCAGGTCTCCAATCTGAGTCAGATGTTAGCAGGTGCCAGCTGAGACATCAAAAATTCTTTGAGGGTAGCAAAGTATCCAAGTGCCTCAAAATCATACATGACATGAAGAAGTAATGAAAAAAAATTACATGAGCCACCCTTAGGTGGTGTGAGACTGTGGCGAACAAGACTTCCACGTATGCCTGCCAACATTCTAAAGTGGTATGTGCAGTAAAAGAGTATGTACCTCACCAATCCAATCCTAGGGTCTTCTGCAAAGAAGCAGTGAACCAGAGATCTGCACTCTTGAATTCATTTATCTCTAATACTATTCCAGAGAGGAAGCAATCAGAGATTCTCAGTCAGAAAACATTCTTTTTTACCTACAAGAAAAGAATCCAGGTGAATAGGAATGCAGAAACTCATTATCTTTAGTGAAATCAACTTGGTCTAGGGTTTTCTCAAACTCTGCCAGTTCCTTCTCAATTCAATGGCATTAAATGGGAGATTACAAAATATTCTATAATGAAAATGGAAAGCATGGGAATAGACTTACACAAATGAGCTTCATGATCCCAGCATGATCATCCTTCCTTGCTTTGCAGATCATAATTCCTTCAATACTAATAGTCTATGCCCACAACACTTATCTATTCAAAGTATTTCATCAGCCTAATTCATCCATTTCCCTTGATGCAATTCTAGCTAGAAGAGTTTCAGACTACATCAATTTCGTTGCAACATCCCATCCATGCAGGCTTCTCATGGGATGTATAAGTCACTTGGGAAGCATCATTTTGTAACTTTGGTAAGGATTTTCTCATATCTGACGAGCTGACGAATGAATCCATCATTGGGCATGATGACTCGGATATTGCTCACATGATGGTACGCCTGATCATATGACCACTGATTCTTTTTCATGAGGAACCCAATGACGACAGATGGAGCACGGGAAATCCCAGCCATGCAGTGCACGTAGACACCCCCACCTCGCCCGAGACCTTCCTCGATGAACTTGAAACACTCATCCAAGTTGGCCAAGAGGTCGGTCTCGGGGAGGTCGGCCATGGGAACCTCCTTGCGGACGAATGTGTAGCCGTCCTTGTCCTTCCAAGGGATGCTGGCTGCGACGCAGAGGATGTGTGTCACCCCTTGCTTCTTCAGCAGGTCCTTCCTCTCACATACATCCTCACTCCCTGTTGGATCCAGTTTAAATTACAAGAATAAAAGAAGTATCACCGAATTTGCATCATGAATGCAAAGCAGAGCTACAAAATCAAGAGAGGAGTCAAGAAGGAAGGAAGTGAAGAAGAACCTCACCGAAGAAAAGATGAGGATAGACCTCAGCCATTTGAAGATCAGGGCCATATGCAAAAGCCATGTCTAAGTCCATCAAAACTATATCTTTACACTTATCTCATGAACTGTCCTTCAGCATGCAGCCAGATGGGAATGACCTTGAATTAGTTGTTAATCACATAATCAGATACTCGGGCTAACAGTGAAAGGGTTAAAGCAGGGGCATCAAAATCAATTAGGCTGGAGGCCAGATGGAACCCTTCAGGGGTGGTTGGGTGCCACACTGACAAATTGTACAACAAATTTCAAATGAGAACAGTTTGAAATTTGCAGCACTTTTCTGAAACCAACTTCACGGACCAGATAAAATGGATTGGTGGACTGGATCTGGCAAACAGGCCACCAGTTTGACACCCCTGCCTTTAAGTCTCCATGGCATTTTAATGTTATTCACAATTCCTGCAGTGAAAATTTTGAAGTAACTCTCAAACTGACAAAAGCATCATTTCCAAAGTTGCAATACATGCTCCCTCCAGTCCAAGTTAGGCACTTCATCATACATCAGGTCAAGCCAGTTTAGATAAAGTCAGGTATATATGTCTTAAAATGCAGGTCAGGAAAATGTGACTGCTAAGCCTGCATCACAGCAACTGGGCATGACAGATGAAATAACTGCCACTGTAGTCATAATGAAATTTGCTCATGCTATTTTCATGAAGTCACCTTTGAATATAGTTATCAACTATTTGGCATTCTTTTTCCCTTCTCATGCAAAGGAAGGAAGAGCGTGCACAAGTTCTACAGACCAGTAGAGCCCTCCCTTCTTCACAAATGAGCAAAATTACCATAATCTACACAAACTTGTGATGATAGTTCCTACATCAGACTTGGAGAGTACCAATGATCCAGCTTAACTTGTGTTTTCACATGGTTATTGGATGCACATATATTTTTTCCAGGCAAGGATAATTACAATTACAATTCCCAATTACAATTAATCCACATTATGATCATCATCAATCCAAAATCTGAGTGAAGTAATCATGTTGACCCAAATGCAGTGGCATAGCCAGGAATTTGCCAAAGGGGGGGCTAAGCAGAATGGTGGGAGGGCTTGCATCTCCTTGCCAGAGGGGGGGGGTTGGCATATGCATTTAGACTGGAGTTAGGGGGGGCAGGGGGTTGAACCAAACTCGGGGAGGCTGAAGCCCCCCCCCCCTTGCTATGCCACTGCCAAAATGACCCTACAGAGAGGAAAGACAATGGAAAGGCATGCTTCTAGAGAAGCAGGGCAGTTAATTTTGCCTCAACTGCCATCACTGACATATCTCACTTGCAAGAAATGCATGTCAACCAATGCAGGGATAACGCATCACAAGGACTGGATACCATATCTGTCATGGGATAAACAATGTAAATCATATTTGATGAGAGCATCAAAAATCCACTCAATACAAATTAAATTAGATCATAAGTATAACTGAAATTTTCATCATGAGTATCACCTACTAGGCATGACTAGCTGCTTTTAGTGTCTTCTCATACTCTTTCAGCTGCTTCACAAATCCATCATTCGGCCAAATACCTGGTCTGATCTTGAAAACATGATCATATGCCTGCCTGTATGACCATCCTCTCTTCTTCATGATGTAGGCAATGACGACCGAGGGAGCGCGTGATATCCCTGCATTGCAGTGCACAAAGACTCCACCCCCACTCTGGAGTCCTTCATCGATGAACTCAAAACAGGCATCCAAACTAGCCAGGATGTTTGTTTCAGGTATGTCGAGCAGAGGGACTTCCTTCCTCGTGAAACCTTCTTCCTCTATCCACTGAACTCCAGTTGCAACACAAAGGACATGTGTAACTCCATGCTCCTTCATCAGCTTCTTGTCGTCTGCCACATCTTGAGAACCTGGATGGACCAGGATCTTACTAATCATCCCAGACAGAATGAAGACAGACCCTGCAGGAAGTCTATTTAACATACCGACAAAAAGTCTGGGGAAGACCTCAGCCAGCTGGAGGTCTGGTTCATCATCGATGACAAACCCAGAATATGATGGAAGGCTTTCAAGGAGCTCCTGACTTCGAAGGCATTCTAGTGTTGTCAGACCACTTGCCTGTCGCACCACTGTGGTTGTCTGCTTCAATTGATCTTTCTTCTCTTGTATTGATGCTTCAAACATTGTGGGAACAAATCCTCACAATTCCATAATCTGAACAAGAAACTCAAACTGGACCCCAATATGAGGATTATAGCTACCATAGTGCAGTGCTTATAACAGCCAATCTGAGGTTATCTTTGTGTTCTCTTGAAGTTATTTGCGCCAATACCAATTAGTAAACTTGATTCATTTTGAGAAAGACAAGCTACCTCCTCAGACAAAGATCTAGTGAATGGCATGCTTCAGGCTGAAGCGAGGCAATCCATGACCATCATTGCCATTCAATTCTGAAATGACATAAATTCACTCATGAATTCCCTCTAATTTCCAAACTCAAAATAAAAAAATAAAAAAGTAAACAAATATTTTCATTTCATTTTTGCACAAGAACTGCCCAACATCGGGGTGAAATGGCATCATCAAACACTTTCAAAATCCTTGGAGTGAAGCCTTGCTCTTGAAGGAAAGCAAAGCGATCAACGAGGATGAGGGATTCGATCACAGGTTGAAGGTGACATTGTAGTCTAGTGAATGGCTCAACCAGCTTCAGCTGAGGCTCTTGTTGATGATACAAAGCCAGTAGCAATGTCTTGTGCTCATCCACTGTTCTCTTATCTGCTCCAATCAGTTCATGATGAGCAAGGAAAGCATCAATATAAGCTGTGAAGTCTCCCATTGCATCATCTCTCACACCATGCCTCCTTTTCTTCTTCAATTCATACCCATCTGTAGAAAAAGGAAAAAGTGCAGATATTTTGTTGCATACCACAAATTGCATGAACAATTTCATACTATCCAACTGAATTCACCAATAACTGTACATTTAAATGAAAAATAAGTAAAGTAGGAAAATTATACAGGAAGATCCAAGAATGACTTTAAACTTTTGCTATCATTCTATTTCTAAGTACTTATATTTTATATCTCATTTCTGTTTCTTACTTTCAGATAACTAAGGGAAGACATGGCATGTAGTATGTGTATCAATGTACAGGTGGTTCACTTTTCATGTATATAATTTGCAAAAAATCTTGCAAATAAATATGTTATTTTCAGCATTACAAAGTGCAAAGTGACTTTTGGATCACCCTGTATATTTGGAGTGAAATACTCGTATATGTCTGTGTCATTGCAGTGATGCAAAGGCTGGACTCTTAAGTATTATTGATGACCATCCTAAATCTGCATCATCTATCATGGTTTGCAGTCTGCTTAGGACTAGAAAAGCAAATAAATAATTATTCAAAGGTTTTTCATTTAAATCTACTTTCTTTGATTAAATAAAATTTTTTCCCATGAGAGTAGGCCCTCACAACCAAGAGTAAAATTCACACACTCTAAACCAGAAACAGGTTAGATAAACAGCTTACTTTGTTGCAGATAGAGCTGAGCAACAGCCCGAAAGACCACTCGTGCAGACTGAAGCCGTCGATCCCGAGCAGCCCACTGACGTGGACTCTCCTGTGCCCCGAGACGCAGTGAATACAGACTGAGCTGTGCCCTTCGCTTCCTCAACAAAGATGAAAGTGGGAATCCATGTACAGTCATGTGATGGTAGCAGCACGGAACAAGTAACAGGGTATCGATCTCCTCCACTTCCACAAATGCCTTCAGTATGGTGGATGAAAGGTCTCCACAGCTGTGCAGTGACAATGCCATCACTCTGTGGAATGCCAGAGCAGGAGCATGGCAAAACCTAAATTTTATAGATTTTCTGCAAGGCAAAAAAAAAGTACTCTTTCTCACCTCTGTGATGGAAAATTCTCCATGATTTTATCCCTGAGAGATGCCATGCTGTCTGGAGAATCTCTTAAGTGAAATGTCTCATGCCTACAGGATGTAGCTATGCCATCTATTTGGGAACAATCCATATGTTTCAGGGCTGTGTCACACTTTACAGCATCACACTCCAGACCAAGAACACTGACTGCTGAAGTTGCTGAGAGAGCATGGTCAATGTAGCCCTGAAGAACAAAATATTCAAGAAGGATTTATATTCCTCAAATCCTCAATAATCTTGATTTTACCCCAATGTATTCAAGGAGAAAAATTATTGACTGATACATAGATAATCTTCTAAAGATGCAACTGAGATTAATTTTCAAAGACTTTCAAACTTCCCATGAAAATAAAATTTACACTTGGTATCAAATTTCTTAAATAACTCAAGTTGGCACCATTCCAAAGATTAAAATAAAATTTTAAGTTTGAGAGGGGAAAATCATCTTTAAATGAAAGTGTGTATATGCATACCAGTCATTTATTGAACCCAACAACATAAAGAGACTCCCATAAGTTACCATGGTAACTTCCAGTTTCCTTTTCACACAAATCTGATTCCAACAGTCAAATTCATCTCATGAAATGTGGCAAAAACTTGATACTTGCACAAGATGGATCAAAAGTACTTCCTATTTACTTGGTGCTCAGTTGCAACATATTCAGGTAGGAAAACATTTCATGTTTTCTACAAGATGGCAAAGTAATCTCTATTACAAGAAATAGACAAGAAACAGCAGAAGTAATCTGTTAACTCCATAGTCATCCATAGGATCAGATCATTTCTACCAATTTCTGACCTTACTTTGACTGTGCTTAAATTTTTTTATACCTAATTTTTTTTATTCTGCTCTGGAAAGGCATCATGCCAGCTTGTGAGTCACAATTGAGATGTTCTCTGAAAAAGGCCATGAGTCCCCATATGCCCTTTTTCTATATCTGTGTCCATGAACTGTTTTAAGTGACTTGTCATAGTATAGGGTGGTTAGCAGATAGTTAAGATGTGGTACAGCAAAGGAGGAGCAGATTATCCTATATGTTCCTCACATGGCAGGCCAACTGCCTGACAATTTCAATGTGGCTGCATCCATGAATATTCCATTAGCACCTGCATTCCTGAATGATTTTGGTGGAATAATTCCATTCTTTCAAACTGAAACTGAGAATTAGAAAGAAACCAGACAGGCAGAAAAGGGAAATAGAGGCACAGTCATCTAAGCCACTGGAAGGATGTGAGAAGTTGGTGATATCCATGAAACAATTGGAGATTCAGATGATGAATAAATTAATAATGGATCACTGATGAGTAATTGGTGAATGAAACTTGTCCTGAATGTTCACATTTTTGTTGCCATTCTCTGAGGAAGAGTTGATTTGAAATCTGAATATGTATTTATTGGAAAATTATTAATTTTTTACTGGAAAGAAGCAGTGAAAGACTGGTTGGAAAAAGTTCCAGTAGTGCTGATATGGAAAAATAGGCTTATGTGCATAAACACTTTCTGCCTGCATCCAAGCAATAAGAGATAAATAAATTCATTCAAACCCCAGGTTAAATTTGAAAAAAGTATAAGATACCATTTGACTGAAAAATGAGTTTTGACCAGCTGCAGATTAGCTATGGGAAGTTTTTGCTGTTTATCTTGAATTGCATCTTTTGCACATAAGTCCTTTTCCCAGAGAACTCCTCAATTATTTCCTATATTACTTAAATTCCAGTCCCACATTGTTATCACTGCAAATATATAAGCATACATGAATCACTGCCACTTGAGGGGCTATTCCCTGGCTTTTTTTTTGTTGTTGCAGTTTATCAGAAAAGATAAAGATAAAAAAGAAGAGTTCCTGGAAAAACGGGGCACAATCCAGCGAGAGTGCACGCCTTTTGACATTGTGAAATTTAATTGAAAGTCTACCTACTTGAGTAAGTTCAAAAGAAGAATTTAGGACTGAGATTACTTGAATTTAAACCACAAATTGATTACCAGCTGTAAAATGGAGCAAAGAGCAGAAAATTTTTCACATGAAAGCTTGCACCAATATGATAATAATGCCTATATCAGTGAGTAGGTTTCATCATGGAATCTTGACAACATCCACCAGTTTTAAATAAAATCATTACAGGAAGTTATGGTTTGGAACAAGAACCAGATTTGCAAAATCTTGACACAAAACTGCCATACCAGTCCAGAGCCAATGTCAACAATGCACTGAAGAGGCCTTTCTTGACTGATGTCCTTTACCAATGCCAAGAGGTTTTCTACCTCATGGATCTTCTTGGGTGACATGTACTTCCAGGGGTATGTTTTTTCATGACAGCCTGGAGAAGAATATATAGAAGAAAAGACAAATAAGAGTGCAGTCCATGCAGAACTGACATAAAAGGGGAACACAAAGGTGTCTTTTTCATTTGACAACTTTTCATGATTGAATAATTTCATGCTTTTCAATTTTTTAATTCTCAGTAGAAGTGCCTTTGGATAAGTTTGGTGAAGGTTTCACAGTCTACTCTGATTATTTCATGGATATTTTTTCTGATGAATGATTGGTGATCTTTATCACTGCTCAATAGAAGATGGGAGTCAAAGGATAATAATTTCCTCATTTGCCAATGCTGGTATTATGAATTTTGTCAGCCAATGTCGTCCTTACATGGTAGACGTATATTTCTCATACAATTCCTAATTACTCACAATTAATTGAAAAGATGTCTGTACCTGCTTTGGAAGAACAACTTTGAACAATAAACTCAGGTTTGGACAGACACCTGTTATCACCAATGAAATAAAAGCTGAGGCTACTTATGAAATACTAAAATAAGATCCAAATGCCAGCTATCTTTGTGATCAGGGGCATTGTCAGGGACAATGAATGCCAGGATTATCTTATCTTCTAAAAAGTAGTGAGACTCATCCCAAATTGGTCAACCATAGTCCAAGGTCCATAGTCCATAGTTCAAGGACCATGGGCAATAAATAGTGTATCCAACTAAACAAAATAATAAAAAAATCCAATCATAAATTCTCACCAGAGCATATCAATGATCACTACAGACCTCAAAGATAACAGCAATTTTCAGGCAATGAGAATCTGTTGTGTGAAAAAAATCCCATCAAATTCCCTCATATTTGTTCTGGCAAGCCATCCAATGACTCTTTAAGTTTCCCCTTACCATTTGGAAGCAGCTTGATTTCTGCTGCCAGTAGGAATCTGCTGCCATCTTGACATCTTGCGAGGAAGGTATCTGACTGTGTTGTATTATTGATGAGCTTTAGACAGAAAAAAGAGGAGGAGAATTTGTAAAATTAGAATCCTTCTCTGGAAATTCCTTCAGCTAAATCAACCAGCACCCAAAACAAAGAAAAAGTACTATATTGAGTTCACCACTAACCTCCAAGAAATCATCTGAGGAGAGCACCTTCTTGACAAGGAGATCAGTGACTCGAAAGTCATGCATCCATGAGTACGAGTCCAGAAGTGCTAATGCATGATCACAATACTCTTCTAGGTCTTGCATTCTCAACAATGGGAGATCCCTACATAAGTTTAGGCCACTTGCTAGACTCCCAGGGCTATGTCAACATCCCTCAAGTTCCTGACTGGAAGCCTTTCATTGGAACAAGCACTCCTCACACCCTCCCCCATCCTCCTCCAAAGGTAAGAAACCTGAGAGCATGGCCAATGGCGTGCACCATATGGCTTGAGCTAAATTTTCTGTTACTGGTGAATTATGCCTAGTCTACAAAAATTACATGAAGATGGTACATAGTCCGATCACAGATTTCACTACAGAAAGCTCTCTTCAGTTGCAACTTATTCTACTTCATATAATTTTTGCAAAGAAGGTCCATAGTTCAATCACAAGCTTCAAGGAAAATAGCTTTTTCCATCTCTCCATCATGAGAATGATGTCCCTAGCAGAACTGGCAGACAACAATTTCATAGGAAACACTTGAAAAAGGATTTAGAACTTGTTGCAACAAGACAACAAAGAAATATTGCACAGTAAACAGAACAACTGGGGTGAGACTAGCAGAGAAAGAGGCTAAACAATATTTTCTTCTAATAGGGGCTTGTTAAGCATAATGCGAGAAAAACCAAATCGTCCCAGATCAATGGTAACACACTTCCCATCAATGATCATTTCAGACACAACACGACCAACTCCCATGGACTGCTGTATACCATGTCCTGAGAACCCAGCTGCAAAGTACATGTTTGAGTGATATGGATGGGGTCCAATGATTGCATTTTCATCAAAGTAGCAAGTATCGTAATATCCTGCCCATGCACTTCGAAGTTTAAGTGCTTGGAATGCTGGAACCCTGTGTGCAAGGATTGGCCAAATATGATTATCAAAGAAGGAGTAATCCACATCCAAGTTGCTTATAGGTGGTTCAAGGTCAGGTGAAGGTGGTGATCGGCCAGAGAGATACACTCCTGCAAGTCCCTCTCTTCGGAAATACACCCCACTTGGGTCAATGAACATTGGACAGTCAAATCCTGGTCCATCAGGGCAGTGGAACACAAAGACATATCGCTTCCTGGGTTCAATTGGGAGAACATGACGAAGCAGACCTTCTCCTTTCCCAATTCCTGCCATTTCTGCAATATTCTTTGCAAAGGCTCCAGCAGCCACCACATAATAAGCAGCTTTCACAAAACGCATCTCACCTGAGTCCATTTTGACCAGAACTTTGTCAATTCGGTTGAACTGACTGCCTATGTGTCCAAAAAATTCCCCCTCCAGGGTTTTGTCAAAGGCAAAACCAACAGCTTCACCATGGATGTAATGTCCTCCTAAGGAGATGGTCTTGCGCTTGAGAGCATAGATGACAGCCCAAGGATCAAAGGATCCTTCCCCTTCCAGCCCATGACTTGCACCAGCCAGGCCTTCCACATTCATCCATGGGAATTGCTGCTTCAAGTCATTGGCTGTAAGCAACTCCACTTTGGCACCATACTTTCTCTGAAGATGAATATTTTTGACTAGCTGATCCATTCCTTCTTCAGTTGCAGCAAACATGTAACCATGTGGTGAGAATGATGGGTTTGGAGGATCTCTCCCTTCGACCTGGAGATTTCGACCCATGGTGCGGAGAAAATTGATGCCGAATTGTGAGAGCTGAATGTTCTCAGGCAAGGAAAACTGTTGTCTGATGCCACCAACTGACAAAGTGCTTGATGCATAACTGTAACTTGGATCTCTTTCCAAGACGACAACATTCAACTTTTCATTGCGTTGCTTGAGCCAGTAGGCAACAGAGGCACCAACAGCACCACCACCTATCACACAGATATCTGCATAGTAGGGGAATGCAACATCTCTATGATGAATCTCCTGGAATCTTTCCTTTAACTTCTCCAACCCTTCAACCCACTGATCTTTTGGTTCACTGGCATCATTCTTAGGTTCAATGGCACCATTCTTAGGTTCAATGGCATCATTTTTAGGTTCAATGGCATCATTCTTTGATTCATTGGCATCCTTTTTGTACCATTGGCGGGAAGTGCAAAGATGTCTCAACCAACTGGTCAAAGCAGAGGCAGTTGCAGGTCTCAACAGATGGAAAGGAAGGCTTAGCTGCAAAGTCATCTTCATAAATGTAGAAAATCACAATTTTGTCTTCACATGAATCTTGTAAATCTATGCACTTCACAGTAGGGATAATCCAATATCAAAAATCAAACCTAGCACCACCAATTAACAACAATAAACAGTAAGCCTTGACTTATCATGATAGCCAAGATCGGCCAAACATGAGGTTAAGATCAATTTTCCTACTAAATAGAATAGTTGATTGAGAATTAAGAAGGTTGGGATATAGTACTAGTAGGAATTGGGAGAGAAAAGCCTTGGAACAGATTCCTTCAGCAAAAGTCTTGCCCTTTACCACAATCCCACATGCAAAGTAGTTGTCTGCACTACTTTCAAAGAAAATAGAAGGCAAAAGTCAAAGTAGCTGATAGTGCTCTGAAGCACTTTGGGGCCTGATAAACAGGGCACTTGGCAAATGCTCAAGTCCTTTCATGACTGGATTAAAGTATAAAGAAATACTCAACCAGCCCAGCCCATACCAACCCCCAGGTGAGAGCAGAAACAATGATCCTACCATGCTTCCTTGAATGGGTATCAAGACATATCAGTCATAAATTAAATTACTTTGGTATCAATCTATATCAAATGCAACCAGAAACGCTGTCAACACTTTCACAGAAAATACTAACAAAAATCCAATGCAACTTTCCTCTCAAATCCAGCAAGTGACATGGAGGAAGACTGTCATTTGCTGCAGCAATGGTTACTTCACGCCACAGAATGAAGACACATATTGCGCAACTCCCTGTAAATTCCTGTCATTGGTTTTCTGTCCATTGCTTCTTCTGTTATAGCTCTTCCCCCTTTAAATAAAGGTGACCTTACCAATTTCTGAAATGTAATCCCCCATTCACAATTTCCCATCTACATATGTCATTAAAATATCCTCCCTTCTTAGTGCTCAAGATCCCTCTTTACTTTTCTCTCTCTCTTTTTCCTCTTTCTCTACTGACGACTCAGGGGAAAACCTGAATGCGGCTCAAACATGAAAGTGATATTTAACCAGGCCTGAGACAAGTACTCGGGCGAATGTAGCTTATTATACGCAGATGAGTAGCTCCATCATTATCTATTACTTGGGGATTCTATTTCTGCATCCACCATACGTTAACGCCTAGCCCGAGGCTCCTAATCGCTCACGTGCTCCTCACAGCTCAAGAGCGCTGAGCAGGCTGCCATGACACAATTTCCAGGAAATAAAATGGCGCTCCCTGAGAAAGGAAGGCAGCATGGACAAAAGAGTTTACTCAAGTTCAGCTGTTGATAGGACTTGGCCACATCTAGCTTAAGTCTGAAAAATTATTGGCCTAATAAGTTGCAAGAAAGGCTAAGATATGGAACTAACTTGAATTAGTTCATTGCATACGAATCTTATGGCAGGACTGTCTTTGCCGACATGTCTTGGTATTTGTAAGCATGAAGTTTCTTGAGTTTTTGGATGGGAGAGATAGCATTCATTTTGCGGCTTTTATTATGCGTGCTTTTATGGTGTCTGTGGTGCCATTAAAGTAATCTCCAGCTTGGCAGATCCTTCAGGGACTATCAATAATCCTAAATATGTTTTATACACAGTATCTTCTTTCTGTTCATGTGTTGACCCTTCATCTTGAATGTCCATATACTATATGAAATGAGGTGGGGTTTGACCATACATACATAACTGTAAACACCCAGTGAAGGTCTTGCCTGGATTTTTAATTATATTTTATTTCTGTCATTTTAAAGTTTCAAATTTGAATATTAAGAGGTAAATAAATCTGGTAATGTGGTTTTCATAATGGTGCCAACAAAGCTGCTGGTTGCAACCTTGGACTTGTTTGAATGGCTCCTAACAAACAGAACCAAAATAAAATTGTGAAGTCTTTCAAACAAGAGTGAAAACATTAAGAGCCCCAAGGGCTAACTTTTCATTGCATTGATACTTAACAACTGATAGTCCCTGTAAGCAGTATGAACTTTATCATCTTTTACAGACCAGTCTGGCCTTGAGGTATCTAGTTTGAGTATTAATTGAAATATCCAAGTAAGCTAATTGTTGAGTGGTGGGGGGATATCATATTAGGGTTAAGTTGGTTGAATAGGGTAGTACTCATCAGAAGTTGATAGTTTGGAGGGGCATTAAAGAGATAAGTCTGTGTAAGTCCACCCTAACAAGGTCTTCAGCCAGCAGTTCCAGCCCTGACAGGTTGATGGGAGGATAAACCTTGAAAAAATTTATGGAAGTGATTCTTTGCATCTATTCTATCACTATTATGTCACTATCTTCTTTGCATTACTTTATTTTCAAGAAATGCTAAACAGTGAATTTACTTTCCAAAAAATCCCCTGATATATCAACTAGGTCTCATTTCCTTGAGACCCCCATAACACCCCTTGGACATGCCACTGATAAGAATGCTATCTGCAACCTTGGAATGGACAAACACAAGTTTTTCATTTGAATCCTACAGAAGTCCATGCAGAGATAGGCTTAGTTCCATCCTTTTACCAGTTTCTGTTGTGCTGCAGCACTCAGCATTGCTTTCTTTGATTGTCACTGACATACACCCACCCTTCTCATATTAGACTTATAGATATGCATAATATGTAGGTTTTTCACATCATCACTGTCCCAGAATAAGGGAAAAAAAAAATATTTTGAAACCTACTATAATTGAATTATCATTTTCATTTTTAGGCCAGTACCAGTAATATTTTCATAATAGGTCTTGTAACTTGCTCCATTACAGGAATATTGGATGACTGTGGATTACACATTTTGTCCCCTATTCCAAATTGTATTTGATAGGAATCTTGGCTCCTTGTGCATCACTCATAAAACTATGCAACTTTTCATATGGGTTAGACAAGAGTACGTTTTTTAAATCTTTTTTATTTATTTCAGATGTGTAGGATGTGATCAAGAGGATTTCAAAATCATGAACTGCATTTTATTGTATAAAATGAAAAATAAGCCATGTATGAGATTTGTTCAAATATGTGATATTCAAACCTTTCATATGCCAAGATGCGATATTTCATTGATTTAGGAGTGCTGTATTTAGAACCAAGCATTTTTAGTCTTCTACCCAACTTGGGAAACTGCATTATGAAGTCTATAGGTGTTACTTATATTTATTTGGTTTTAGGACTAGGCACACCAATTCTGATGCTAAGTCATTTCTCTTTCCTAGATGGCTTCAGGAAGCAAGGGGCCAGGCCTCTATGAGTTCCTCATTGAGGCAGAACTACAGCAATATTACAGTGCTTTCAAAACGCAGCTGAAGGTAGGTAATGTTTCTCAGCTCAAGTATGTCACTGAAGAGGACCTGAGTGGGCTGGGGCTCACAAAACCAGAAATCAGGAGACTGAAGAAATTCTTCCATAAGTATTTTCCTCAGACCTACCTCAGCAAATTCAAGAAGGTTAGTTGTTGCATAAGATTGGTTTGGCCTACTTCTAGAATGAAAATTTCTGAAATTGTGCCATTTGTCTTTTTTTTTAAAATGGTCTGTCAGTTCTGTACTTCCATTATATGCCTGAAATTCTTTGCAGAAACTCCTTTCCAAGAAAGAAGATGGTGGTATTGCTGTTGGCATTGTTCACCCATCAAGACAGGAGCGTCCTCCAGTGAAAGTGCCTTCCAAGCATATCATTCCCGCTGAAGCAATAGTCATCAATAAAGAATTGGGAACAGGAGAATTTGGTGTTGTACAGCAAGGAATCTGGACCAACGAGGAAGGCGATAGAGTAAGAGAAACAGAGATGTGCCAAATTTGAGGTCATCGCAAAGTAACACATTATATGGCCATTTTTTGGGTTCTTCCTTATAGATCCAGGTGGCAATCAAGTGCTTGAGCAAGGATCGCATGCAGGCCAACCCCCTTGACTTCTTGAAGGAAGCTGCCATCATGCATGGCATCGATCATGAGCACATTGTCCGTCTGTACGGCGTTGTGCTGGACACAGATGCTCTCATGCTTGTGAGCAATGCTATCAATAAGGCCAACTCCATCTGATAGAATATTGTTTTCATGGTTTTTGATGGAGATTATCATCTTTTTGGTGCAAATGTGTCTAGGTCACAGAGCTGGCCCCATTACGATCCCTCTTGGAGTGCCTGAAGGAGCCTGCACTGCGTCCAACCTTCACCGTCTTCACTCTATGCGATTTTGCCGTTCAAATCTGTGATGGAATGTCCTATCTGGAGTCCAAGCGACTCATCCACCGGTACTGCATTGTTTTTTTAAGTATTTCATTGCTTTGCCCTGCTTTGAATCTAAGAAATTTCATGTTAACTTCCATCTATAGGGACCTGGCAGCTCGGAACATCCTTGTATTTACTAAACACAAAGTGAAGATATCAGACTTCGGACTTAGTCGTGCTCTTGGAGTTGGCAAGGACTACTATCAAACCAACTTTAATGTGAATCTGAAACTACCAATTGCCTGGTGAGCATTCAATTCATGTTGCTGGATGCAAGGTGGGATATTTTGGAAGTCAAACAATCCTCATTGTGTCTTATTGCTCAGGTGTGCCCCAGAGTGCATCAACTACTTGCGATTCACATCTGCCTCAGATGTCTGGGCCTATGGTGTGACTCTGTGGGAAATGTTCAGTTATGGTTTCCAACCATGGGCAGCATTGACAGGGCAACAGATTCTTGAAGCAATTGATGAACCCCATTTTCATGTAAGTGCATGCATTTACCAATTGCATACATTTTGTTTGCCAGCAGCATATATCATTATGCTTAATCTTACAATCAGAAATTCACTTGTCTTATATATTCCCATTTTGAAGTTCTTATGAAAGTGATTAGTATATAAGTTATTTGGCAATGGATATGCAAGTTTCTATGTGTTATCAATTGATCTATGGTTTTATATAGCGATTGGAACAGCCAGAACATTGCCCCAGGGAGTACTATTCAATCATGCTGAGATGTTGGCAGCATGACCCTGCCAAGCGTCCTCATTTCTCAGAATTGCTCACATTGCTCCCTGATGTGAGTTTCAATTTGCAACCTGTCTCTTCTCATTCCATACCTTATGTGTTTAGCTGGTCCTGGCATTTCTCTTTCCTAGTGCAAGCCTGAACAAGTGCAAGCCATTGCCGAGTACGAGGGACCTGCTTCCCGCGAGCAGCTGATGTTTCGGGCAGAGGATATCATCACTGTCCTAGACAAGAAGTGAGCTATTTCTGTTGAATGTTTGCATAAAGAAGAGGGTACTATTACCTTCTGGTTTTTACTCCCATTGTTTTTTTTTTTTTGTGTTTCAGGCCTATACCAGAATCATCCAGTACAAATCCCATCTGGAAAGGTGTGCTGCCAAATGGAAAGACTGGTTTGTTTCTTGCCACCAAGACTGTGGCATACTTGGGCACCAAGATCCCTTGCAGCAAGCATTCTTTCAACCGTGGAGGTTGGGGAGATGTCAATCTCAATTTCTCTGAAGTTAATTCATTGAAAGGCAAGTCATTCGTAGTGGATCCATTGTGCATTTCAGATGGGAAGAATGTGTATTCATCAAAAAGGAGACTCACTCGAGAGATGATCAGTTGCCCTCAGGCAGACTTCAGGCACACTGGACACGTCGGGATTGATGGTGCATTCTTTGGGGATGTCCCCAAGCAAGTCGTTTCCCCGTTCAACCCCCAGGTATTCCCCACAGGTCCAAATTCCAACAGCCTGCATCTGCCAGGTTGCAATGGAAGCCTCATTCTGATTTCTGTTGTGCTGTGAATGAATGCATAGCAAGATGAGGAGAATCCGCCATTGACTCCCATGACTCCAGGGCCTTCTTTGACAAGGGCACCAAGTGACCTGTCAGATCGGGCTCCCCTCCTCACACCAAAGACTCCAACTGATAAGACCAAGAATGGACCTGCTTCTCTTGGTGAGCCTTTTCTCCTTCATTTGCATGAGGTTGTCATAGAGGGAAGCTGTATTTGCTATGCAAAGTGGAGGAGGAATGAAGACCTAGTTAGGTAGGATGAAAATCATGCATGTGGAATCATGGATGTTGAAAGCTATTGTCTTAGCCTTGTTGTTTTTGTATTCTACTAGAAAATTTTATTAGAATGTTTTGCTCATGATTTAGATACATTATGGGTCCATCAGTCAACCCAACGAAATCAAAGAGGGCATGCCACACCAGAACCTGGAGAGAAGCCAGCTGTTGGTGTGGTTGGACCCTTGACTGCACCTGGACCCCATGAGTATCATGAAATCTCCTCTGATGAAGAAGAGCTCAATGGAAACATTAGCCCCGGCTTTGATGCTGTCAGTCCATTTATTGTAAATTTATTGTGAGGTAGTGATAAAAAAAACTTGGATACTTGGGGTAAAGGTCATTATTCTCTTCTGTTTCAGGGTTTTGGCTTGAACACTGGCAGCCTTGTTGATGAGATCTTCAGCGTCCTGACTTCCACTGCTTCTCACGTGAGTCCCCCCGTGGCTGAGTCTCCCAATGAGGCCCACAATGCGAGGAATGAGATCCGAGAGATTGAGGCCTCTGCTGCAGCAGCTGCTGCCAAAACTGGACCAAAGAAGAAGCAGGCAACTGTAAGCAATCACCCCCACTTCTTTCCTTTCCTGGCTGTGCAATGAAACATGTTCTTTAAGCCATGGAGCATAAATATAAATTTATCCTCCTCATCATATGCATTGTCCTGTTATATTTTCAAAGTTACTTTGCATCACTTGATGTCATGTTTTCCTATGCAAGGTGTCCTTGGTATTTTCTGTGGGCTTTGCCATTTCATTGCAAAAAGTCATTGACGTGGTCCAAAAGTGTACCCACGTTATCTGGGTGAAAGTTAACGATTGAGGAAATATTCCATTTCATGCTTGCAGAGTGTTAAAATTCCCCCATTCTTTAGGTGAAGCCTATGAGTGCAACAGATCAGAGGATCCTCGAGGCTGCCATCACCAAAGCCCGGGAACTCGCAAGTCAGTCGGTGACAGACTTGGGAGTATCCTCACCTGAGGGAGATGAAGACTCCTCTGTTCCCCTCACACCAGTCTCCCCAAACAAGAGGAAATTCACCTTCAAGCTCCCTCTTCGAAGCAGCCCTAAAGGCGAGCGGAAGCCGTTCTCCTCTCAGGCCAGTTCCATCCCTGACATCCAGGTACAGTGTTTCTTTGTTGGTCAACTCTCATTTAGTCAATTGTTTAAAATCTTCTAGTATTCCTAATACCAACTAAAGAAATAATCCTTGCACAAAAATGTCATTAGCTGATTCAAAAATTCTCAATTCAATCTGAATGGCTATAATCCATGGAATCTGATTATACAAGCATATTCTCCAGTCTCCTGGGCCCATTTTTAGCTGCTAATCCAGGCTCCCAATATTGAGAGAAGGGATACCAAAGCCACTGGAGAGAAGAGTTTGTTTCCTCTTGTAAGCAAAGGAAAATATATTCCAGCCACTTTTACATCATCTTCACTCTACTCCATTACCTGTGCAATGGTTACTTTAATACCCATGCTTCTGCCATCATGAATGGCCATCTCTTACTGCTGCTATCCTTGGTTTCTTCCCATGGTCACATTGTCTTTGGCACTGTTACCTCAATAAGTTTCTCTTTCTCTTGAGCTCGGATGAGGAAGCCAACTGAAAGAGCAATAACATCAGTCTTTGATAACCTAAAACCTTATTCCTTGCTGTTTGGGGATACACAGGAGGCATTTATGCTATTAATGTTATTAATAATCTTGAGAATGCACTCCAAATTTTAATTTTATTTGATTAAATGAAGCAAGATATTTTTGTCACACTTTGTGCGACTGTTTAGAAAAATAAATTCCAGTGTGCATGAAAAGATAGCAGATAGCATTATGGCATATTGCAGCACACTAAAGGAATTTATATTATCCATAACATGAGAAGAAAAGTGAGCTGTCTATTGACCAGGTTTTTACTAATCCTGATTTTTCTCTAGATTCTATTTATTTAGGAAAAATTGTCAGTTTCCTGAAGTTGGGATTACTGAGCTTACCTTTAGATCAAACATGTTAAATTTATAATTACCCATGAGTAGTATATTTAGTGGTTCTGTGATTGAAAACAAAATAGCCTGGCTAGTGAAAGCTAGGAAAAAAATTTTCTAGGCCGTTGTCAATAATAATTCCTGCGTGCTGCATTCTTATCATTATTTTGGGTCTTTGAATTGATATATGCATAAGTATTTCATAATTTTTTTTAGTCAACATTGACTGAGGAAGCAAAGGAAGCTTACAATGCATTGGTGGAGAAACCAGCCTCAGCAGCCATTGTTCAATCTTCATCTGAAGACCTGGAATCGCCCATCGAGGACAATCCCTTGCGACGGCTCCGCTCTGTCGGAGCTCCGTTGTTCGTTCCTCCTGGCCGAGCAGTCAAGAAGCCCCCGGTTCTACCCCCAGTGTTGCCCAAACCTCGACCTGCTCCACTTCACATCCCAAATTCCAATTTTGATGTGCAGCCAGAAAATGGGAGCAAGAACCCCCTCCCACTCCCACCACGTGATCGCTCCAAGCCCAGCTTTCAAGCAGATGAACCCAGGAGGCATCAACGAATCCATCCTCTGGTCATTCCCGATGGATTGTCCGTCAATCATGCCACCGTCAATGGGGCTGCCGGAATCTCAGCCATCAGTATGAGACCCTTGAAATCTGTGGTCAATTACCAGCTGTAGATCATGTCTATTTCATGTCACGTGGAACTCTTTCTGCTAGAGAGAAACGATCCTGGAGAATCTCGACCAATTGGGAAGCAACCCACAGCCAAGGTTCATCCCCAACCCATCGTAAAGCCAGATCAGCATCATGTGTATGTTGCATCAAAACTTCATCTTTCTACCCCTGTGACTGGGTAAAAGTATTTATATCCATTCCCTTCACCTACAGGACCAGATCATCCGCTACAGCCCTGGATGATAGTTTCGAGACTCAGATTGCAGCTGAATTGGATTCCCTGGAGAAGGTTGGCCCATTGTACACCAGTGGTGACCATGTGTCCTGTGAGGATCTCCTAGAATTTGCCCTGGATCGACCGAACGCTCAGCGCACTCGAGGTCGAGCCCACGGGATCGCTAGCGATGAAGTCCGCATCATGATCAAAGTCTTGTCTGGCAAAGTAGGTCTATCATCACCTTGTCATCTTCCTGGCTTTTGTGCCATCAAGAAGGGCATGTAAAAGTGGGTCTTGTTCTTGCCAAAGGTGCAAGGGGAAGAGTGCCAGGAGTTTCTGAATGCCACCGACTGGAACATCCATGAGGCCGTCAAACTGGCCCGTCTTCATGTCCTGCTGAAAGAGGCCAGTGTGGAGGTGGGGAGTGGGCCATCAGCCAGGCAGGCCCTCCAGGCATGTGAATGGGATGTCCAAAGGGCTTTTGGGTACCTAGTTGCCACATGCGGACCAGAAGCAGACGTGGCCAACGTCTGAGGCGTTTTTCTACCTTGTCTGAGAAATGTATAGTTTCTACTTTTATATGAGACTTTCCCATCCTCTATAACTCAGCTTGATACTCAGGTGAAGTGCTTTCTCCTCTGTAAGCTAGGATAGGTTCCATGGTTACATATCACATGCTGAAGCTTTAGGCAGGGAAGTGCATACCTGACGGCCTTACGAGAATCTCGGGTCTCCTTCTAGGGAAGTGTGTTTGTAACATCTGTATTTTGTAGTGCAGCAGCTTTAAGGACCCTTAACTGTTGTAAGTTCTGTAGCATTCACTCTTGATGAACTGAGAATACTCCCACAGTATATACAGAATCGTTTCTATTGTCGTGTATGATGAGTTATTCGCATGGCTTCCGACGTGTGTTCCAATTTCCATGATTTGGTTGGTCTTAATAACTGATGACCATTTTATGAGATGTTGGGGAATGATGCATAGTTTTGGATTAAGAGCAGTTGAATTTGCATCCAACATCAGGACAGCTCTGGTCCATGTCAAATATTGGGACCATGATTGAGTCAGGAAGAAGGAGGTGCAGCCTCCACTTTTTGGCCCATTTCCATCTGAGTAATGCTTATTTCGTATTGTTAGAGCATTTTGATATTAGGTCTGGAATTTTGTCAGTGTGTTAAAAACTAGTCGCTGAAGTGGAGTCACTTACTGGCTCGGCTCTTTGGAAAGAGTACTGCATGCTGTCTTGTCGTTTTCTGGCTTCCAGATGCATTTGCCTTTGTCTGTAGATTAGTTGTTTAGTATTTTGTGTCAATTGCTTGCCTCTCGGTCATTAGTCACAGGAAAGTCTACAATGTCAAAAGATGTGGTGCTCTACGTTTTGTTCCTGTTATGAAATGTATGTGAAGAGAGCTTTAAAAAAAACGATGTCCTAGATGTTTATATGTATGCAAGTACCGGTACTAGAACAAATAGTGGTGTATATGAAATGATATGCTTGGATGAAAAAGCGAAGATGTTATGCAGGTCTCATAAACAGTTTCGGTTTCAGCATTCACACTTAAGGATTATTGTATAAGTGGCTGGTTCCCAGATGGATGATTTTGGTACCTCTTATTGAACACAGTGACAAACTCTTCCAATTACTCTTGTTAAGTCTGCGATTTTTCTTTCAAGCGATGGATGTGTGATGTTTGCAGGAATGATGCCCTTACCCCTTACTGTTATGAAATATTTTTCTTTTATCAGACTGTAATTTCATCCTTGTATCCTGAAGAACAGTATCAGTACATGATAGGAGATATGACATCTTCATGTCGTACCATGGATAAACTCGTACTTCTGCAGCCATGTCTGAAGATTCATGCAGATTGGATTGCATGTTATGGATGTACATTCAGTTCTGGTCAACTTGGAAAGCCGTTGTGCATAGACATGTATATCCCATTAAAAGTATGGGGAGCACATTCAAATCTAAATACAAAATGTGTAATATGGAAAATAGAAGTGATATGCTCTGAATCTGCATCTTCAACTCCTCTGTGCTCCAATTGAATATGGCAGAAGAATGAATCTGTTGTTGTGAAGACAAATTCATTCTTCCGCGGTTGGGGATGGTTGCTCTTATTCTTTGTCTCTAGCTGAAGGCATTCTCATTCTCACAAGCATGTTCATCCTGGCTCGCAGAATGGGATTTTCTCTGTTGCCAGCCAAACTGACTGCTGCTAAGAGATTTGGTTGAACTAGGTGCTGGCCACTGACACCCAATTGCGGTGTCAGTGGCCAGCACTTCCTTGTGTCTGGAGAGTTGATGTGAGCAAGGAAAAGTGTTTTCCTTGACTCGTATTGCACCAAAGAGCAACCACTTGGGTGGACTTTTGTTTCTGTGGAAGGTCTGTTCTGCCTTGTTTTAGTCATATGGAATAAGAAATATGTCAGTCAGTTAAGAATGAATCTGGTAGATGTCTTGTTCTGTCTGTGACCAAGTGAAGCTATCAGGGCAATGAAGCACCAAGGCAAATGCCTGATGTGCATACCAGGATGAATGTGTTTGGTTCAAAGAAAATGCTTTGAAGGGGAATGAAACTGTGAAATTCATGATTAAGAGCTGATGGAAACAGATACAGGAAATGGAAAGCCACTGGCTTGACATCATCTTGAGCCATGTGGCTTTGCCCATAATGCAAGACACTAGTCAGTACAATCATTGGAGGGTGATGTCATCATGTGGGTTTTGTGTTTGTCAGCATGTATCTCTTTCTTCCCATGAAGTGAGGAATTTTAGATTATCCTCATTCATGGCTTGTTATTATGGCCAGTACTAATAATGCTTCTTGGCTTAAAAGAAACTCCAGTGAAATGGAAAATAACTTGTTTCTCAAGCCTATTTAAATTCCTTCTGACTTATATCCAGCCAATTTATCATGATTTCAACTTGAAAAAGAACAATAATTGACTCTAAAAGGAAACATGGCACCCAAGTTGCTACAGAGCATTTCTTTAATTGCTTGCAAAAAAACCGTTAATGGTACAGACGTAGGAATAGTATGATATGGCAATGGATGCTCCCATGTGATTACTTCATCAGCCGATCAGATAGCTCATTTTTTTGTCGGTATCCATTTCATCCCTGGCAAAAGTATTTATTAGAAATATACTTGTGATCATGTCTTATGCAATTTCCTGTGTTACTTATGAGGCTCTCTACTCATCAATTTCACAGTTTCATTACCCTCTTGGTCAATCATGATGTATAGTCCCTCATCTCCTGTAGAGGCATAGGTTGCGGTGATAATCTTCATTGCAGGGTAAGAAACCAGATTTGTGTATCATTGCAAATCTCTTCCCAGCTCTGGGCTTGTCAGATAAGCTAAGGGTATGGTCTTGCATCTAGTCACCGACGATGACTGGATTACTTCGGACTTCGGGCTCTTTACTATTGCATTATCTTTGAAGGAGGAAGGAGTAGTCCATGTCAAATATCGTAAATATGACCATGACGGTGACCTCATACATCAATTTATATCCAAGATGGCACCAAAGCCTTTTTCATTAATGGAGAAAATTACATGCCCTTCAAAAACCTATGTCCTTGCCCCAACAGATTAATCTACACCGTCAATTGCATCTGCTGCTGTGACAGTGTAGCAGCCAGATCATCAGATCAGACACAAGGTTCTGGAAGGGAATCATCCAAAGTCTAAAATTTGGGTCGATGGTGTTCTCTCTTTTGACCAATGTGTCGTGGTTCTTGGTCCCCTGAAGAATCATGGGCGTTGCTTATATCTGCTTTGCTTATGGTCAACTTGATAACTAGGCATGACAGCTTCAGAGTCAGACTAGTTTCATGGGGTTCTCACAACGTTACTTTGTTCCAAGTGTCACCAGTAAAAAATGAATCAATGCCTCACTTGAGCGCACGATGACATCATGATGGACACAGCACGAGACAAGGAATAAATCATTTCAAGTGCTTTCTCTCCGAACTGTCATTCTTGTCATGGTTGGCCCATGCTTTGTGAATGCCTGTGCCAAACAGATTGTTTCTGCTTTGTTGCTGATGTATTATAGTTTCAGGTGATTCACCATTTTAAAGGGTCTGTTTTGTTGCCTGGAGTTCTTGAGTGTGATAGCAGAGTCGTTTTTGAATGTATATGATGTTAGATGCAGTATTTGTGAGTCGTGCGGGTGGTGCAGGGCGCTCGCCTCGAGGCAGTTGCCTCGGTGCGGTTGCCTCGCACGTGCTGAAAAATGTTTCACTAACAGCCCTTCAAAATAAAATGTCTCCCTTCGCCCTAGTGCATTACCAAAAGAAAAAAAAGAATCTCGTTTCGGGGACGGTCTTTGGGATCGCTATTCCTAGTGTATATGCATCGGCCGTCTGTGTCGCGTGTGATGTGTGGTGATAGTCAGCCGGGGGGGGAAGATGATTACTGTTTGTGTTCATTGGTATGAGAGATCTGACCACCGACATATCTCTTGCATCTTTACCATATTTGCAAGTTTTTCAGTGACTTTTCACAATAAAAGATGCTTCCTGTCGGAAATCGTGTGAGATCTGGTGCGGCAAACCGCCGACATCGAAGACGACATGGTTCATTTGAACGAGGCCAGAGGAGTGGCCATCAGCATGCCATTTCTATATATAGCCAATGATATTGCATTTTCAATGTGAAACTACGGAGAAACATGACATTTAAAATGTGATGGAGAAAAATACTAAATACAAGACATAAGAAATGTGACAGCTTGCTGGTTTTTGTGGTGGCTTCAATGGGCTCCACAAGACCGTTGCTGCAAGTAGGGATGCTTTTTTTTCTTTAAGACTTTCATTTATTTTAATAGAGCCAGAATCACCATGAGTTGAGCCAACCATGTGTTATGCACCACACGAAGCTGGCTTTGCTTCAGGAACAAGATACACCTTGGGATCACACCAAGAATGATTAGCAGGAAAGTATGTTCTGCGTTATTTTCTATGGGCATTCAAATCGTTGGCAGAAAAATGGATTTTCTAATCAGAATGGTCACATGGCTTCGGCTTTCTGAATTGTTTGCCAGGTGTAAGAGGACTGACACATTCATAATGGAACTTGACATTTTTGACAAAATACAATTGATTTCAAGAAAAAGTCTTTCTGGGGGGTTCGCACTGAGCATTTTTACCGATAGACACCCCTGTGGTCACCAGAGGAAGATTTCCATACAGCAAGTGAAATCTCTGCGGCATCTGTTTTGCAATGATAATTTTTTCCCCACGAGTAATCATACTTTTGATGAATGAATAATAGTATTGTGGTACCTCTAATTATAATTAATTTATCACCCAAGTGTCGTGAGGTGGAACTAATTATGAAAGGATGCATTTGCACACAAAGCGAATGTTAGTGAAATAGAGACAATAGTGCCTGGAGTGAAAAGTGCACTTTTTCTTTGGGAACCACAGACCGGGTGCCTTTCCACGGTTTTCACAAACAGCAGGTGATGTATGCTCACCTTTGAAAATACTTTCACGTATGAAAGTTCTTCCTTGAGTGAGATCTCTTGTGGTCACGCGGTATTCCGATCTGAAAGTTTTATCCCCGCTGTGTGGCTACATTAAAACAAACGCTCGAATCAAACTGAAACTGAAGTTCCCCTTTTTATTATTCAAACGAAGGAATGAGGCCAGAAAAATAGGGGTACAGGATATAGTCAGCTATGAGGATACTCTACACGTTATAGAACAGGGACATCTCTGGGGGCTTTATCACAAGGGAAAAAGGTGGTTAGTGTCAACGAGCTCCTCCGTTTCTCCCTTCATAGCACCTGCCAGTGTTTTCCTCCATCCACCTCACTCACGCACGCACGCATCCCATTCGTATCTGTGCGCATTTATCGCTTGTTGGAGCGGATGTTCTGGCACTTGGGAATGTGCCGGTCGGCGACGGCCTCCGAGAACTTGCGGCCGCAATGGGGGCAGTTGATGTAGTCGGAGGTGTCCGAAGGGGGTGGGGGCGGTAGGTCCGCGATGTCTCCACCCGCTGCGAGGTATTTCTGCACCTTCTTCGCCTCGCGCAATACGTTGAGGAACTCCTCGCGTTTCTTCCGCCAGTCCTTCTTCGGCTGTTAGCGATGGAAAAAAGCCGGGACTCATCGAAAAGCTCGAGTACTCGATACTTTTTATCTAACTTATGGAGAGACTTTTATTTAGCCTAAGGAATAGGCTGTTATTCATAGTAATCGATGGATGGTTGAATTTTTTATGCCGGTCTGATAATTTTGAAGGTCTCATTACTTTTGCACATGTAGCACTCCTTGTGTTGTCACTTAGTCGCCACCCTACAGCGTAGATGCCACGTCAAGGACTAAATGCGACGATTGATCTCTGCCTTTTTTTAGACATGCTTGGACTAAAATAATCTTGTTTTGGCTTCTTCTGTAATCTACCAGGACTTTTGCGTCTAATAAGAAAGTAGACAACTTCATACTGAAAATGTCTTTAGATCGGCTTCGTGGCAAATCATCATCAGTTGAAGTAAGTTTGACAGGCGGAAATGTCGCAACTCCCAGGCGAAAGTGTCGCGGGGGAGCAACCCAATGAAAGCGGGCAAGAGGGCGGAAAAAGGGGAACTGAATATCCGACGGGCAATCCCCCACTCCAAGGCTGTCTTGCCCAATTCCGCGTTTAGTCTCGCTTGCCCCCGCCGTTCATTCATACTTCCTTCGCCACGCCCTCTCCTCCAATTCCTCAAGGGTGATTCTTGTGGAAACCTTCATCTGACAGCTTTAGAATTTATATGTAAATGTCAATTTATAAAGGTGGCGTATAAAAAAATGGAGCCTTCGGGGGTCTTGTAAGGCCTCCAAAGTAAACCATCAAGGACCTTGCAAGCCTTACTTGTTTCAAGTACTTGGATTCATTTTCCTTCATCTCTTTTATGAGGCCCAATATTTATAGATGCTACCTGCCGCTCTCGGATTCAGAACTTTTTCCAAGTCTTCTGTAATGGCCCGGTGTCGTGCTTTTTGTCAATCGAATCTTCCAGTTCGAACCATGTTAGTCGGTCAGAGAAAACGTGAAAATCGCTGACTGCATGATTGCCGCTTCAAGGAATTTTTTTTTAAGCACTTCATATATTTGAAAGTAATTTTGAAGACGAAAGTGTCACCCTTTGTCGTGACTGACTTGCCCCCCCCCCCCTTATCAGTCCCAGTATTAAAGAAATAATAATATAAATAAATGAATGAAAATAAATACATAAACATAACTTAAAATGTTAAAACTTACATAAACATTCAAATACACGAGACAATAAACGGATACTCACAGGCCCAGCATCGGCCTTCTTATTGGGAGTAGAAGCCTTCTTGGCGAACTTCTCCGCCTCCGTGCCCTGGACCCTCATCTTGGTCGGGTCGAAGACCTTCCTCTTCTTCTGGGATGTCTTCTCGCAGATCTCCTCGTGCTTCCCCAGCCTGTCCGGGGCGAAGTGCCGGCCGCAGATGTGGCACGTCGCGAGGCCAGGGGGGGCAGGGGCTCCGGGATTCAGCGGGGGCTTCGTCCCTCCTTGGATCGTCTGTCGCACGGGCAAGGAATTTTGTTGTTGCAGTTTTGTGAGTTTTAGGGAGCCGAGCGTGAGAGGCGAGTGTTAGCGAGTGTGGACGGTACGGCGATGTGAAGTGAGATCGAAAATGCCAGAGAGTTGGAAGCTTGACACGATGATCATGATGTGTCGTGTTTAGCGTGGTTTTTCTGAATTTGGAATGATGCTAATGGCCATGCATGGTGCTGACACCGATAATGAAGTTACCTGTTGCCGCCTTCGTATAAAGTGTGATGATGTCGACCGCTGAAGACGACGGCAGAAAAAGAATAATGAAAAAAACTAAAGAGGCAGTGAATGATCGCTACCTTGGGCGTGGAACGAGGTGGTTTGGGTGCGACGTGCTGCTTAGGCTTTTTCGTTCGAGGCGGTACCTGTGGCCGGTCGAGCTCCAGCCCGATCGCGGGCCCGTTCGTGGACGGGGGCATGGGCGGACGCGGGGACACCGGTGGTTCCCCGTTCCGCAGCCCGCTCGGCACCGCATCTCCGTTCGCCACCGGCTTCGGCTTCCGCCCGAACAGTCGGCGAGGTGGGGGCTTCACCTGTGGAGATTCGTCCTGCTCTTGAATCAACCGTTTGTTACTATCGACGATCGATATCTTTTTATCATTCTCCTGCAGTTTTTGACCGAATGCTTCATTTTAAATTTAAAACTGTCATGATTTTCGTGGCATATGAATAAGAAGAGCAGGCGATAAAAATACAACCCGTCTCGATCGGAAGCGCGCCAAGGAGATTATCGCGCTCATGGAATACCTGTTCTTCCCAGTCTCAAATGTAGAAGGTCGTATGAAGGGCGCCTAGACGCTCAAATATTCCATTAAAACGACATAAGCCTGGAAACATATCGACCCTCGGAACGATCCCTCCCGAAGCCCACGAGAGTCCACAAGAGCCCCCAAGTACCCCAAGCAGGAAAAGGAGCTAAGTGGTGGACAAGGCCATGCTGACGCGCGAGGTCGATGCGTTGTTCCTCGGAAGGAACCGTTTCCATGGAGCGCCCCTGAAAACACCCGAACTTGGCCTCCAATATCGAGAAATCCTATCTCGCATCTATTATTCACCCCCCTCCCACTTGCGTTTCCACGCCAGCATGCGTCGTGTTTACTTCCCAATGTTAGTTATCGGACGACTCGCACCAAATAAGTCTCACTTTGCCTGATCTTGCGTAATAAGTAGTAATGAAAACCCGTTTATCGATGTTCTTTAGATATCAGATCGGCTTGAAGTCAAACGATCCCGACAGGAACAGGCCGTAACGGAAACCTCCAATCTCAAAACGGAAACCTCCCGTCTCGCAGGGCTCACGAGGGCCGTTGCGTGAATCACGAAGACGAGGAACGGGAATCGATGAACGAGTAAAGGAATTTCATGAATGAATATTTCACCTTTTCGGGCTTCTCCTTGATGGCCGTCTTCGGGGGCGGCAGCACGGGGGTGCTTTTCATCTTTTTCAGTTCCTCCTCCTGTTCCCGGATCTTGCGGAGCAGCTCCTCCTCACGTTTCTTCATTTCCAGTTCGATGCGCTTTTTTTGCTCCTCTAGGGATTTGTTGTTATTGCCGTTTTCGGACAAGGAGTTTACGTTTCCATTGGGGTCGCCGCGACGGTCGGGGGAGCGGGAGGAGGAGCGACCCCAGCGCCGCCTGGGGGGCTGGCTCGTGGACCGCTGCCCGTTCGGCGGCTCGGGGGCGCGGAGTCGACTGGAGGGGTTCAGGCTCGGGGGCGAGGAGGTGGACATGGGGGAGAGTTCGTCGTTGGGGGCCTTGTGAAGGCCGTGTTGGCTTCGAGTGCGGCGCATCTCGGTGGTCTTGCCGGGGAGGCGGGAGACGGGGGCGCGGCGGTTAGGGGCGCCGCGCGTGCCGCTTCGTTCCCCGCTCGGGTCGCTGCGGGAGCTCGTGGTCCGCGTCGACTCCACCGGCTGGAGGGGGAAGCTTTTGTCCCAGCCCACCGGGATTGGAGGTGGGATTCCGCCTTTTCCTAAGGGGGAGGAGAGAGGGTGAAAGTCTCGTCCAGTGACGCGAGGCGAACCGGCGCTGGTAATGAAGGCTCTCGGTTGTTATTAATTAAACAATGGGTGGACTTCCTCGTTTTCCCTCGCTCGAGAAGCGAAGTCAATGATCTTATGTGAATAGGGCTACTCCGGCTCCTTCTCGAGTCGTCATTAGGGAAGACCGCAGCTTCCTGTCTCTACAGACTCTTTAGAAAAAAAATCTGCTTTTTATGGGATCCTCATCTTGCATCGAGACTTTTCTCTCTCGTAGAAGGAGTAGTAGAAAGTGTAATCACGCTCAGGCTTTGTTTTTCTCGGCTATTATGCGCTACCCTTGGAGTGGTGGATCGCTCGGGGCTTTTTCCCTCGGAATCCTTCTCACGAGACCGGAAGGAAACGCCACCTTCGCGTTTTCGTGGCTTCTTTCTCGATGCCATTACCGATGAATAGGGCCGTCGTGTTATGACGGAGCCTTAGTTGAAAGCGGAGTTTTTGCGGCTTCCATCTCGGTTATTCGCCAAGACGGCGCTGCGGCTCGTCTTCCCATATCCCGCGTAAATATAGTTATTAAATTCTGGCCATGAAAACTGCTCCCATCTTAGACGCACGGGAGGGGGCGGCAGTCGGCCACAACTCATTCTTGAAAGTGGAGTTGGTGGAGAGTGGAAAGGTTGGCTTTGTCCCTTTCAGAATTTATTCATATTTTTATTTCTTCGGTAGGTAGGACAAGTCCTAAAATAATTATTGTACTCGCTTAGGATTAGCGAGTTGAGGGAAAGGGAACATCCTAAATCCTCTCCTAACTTGGGGGGAAAGTGAAACCATTCTGTTCTTTGTCCCCCCCCCCCCCCCCCCCCCCCCCCCNTGAGCATTTTTACCGATAGACACCCCTGTGGTCACCAGAGGAAGATTTCCATACAGCAAGTGAAATCTCTGCGGCATCTGTTTTGCAATGATAATTTTTTCCCCACTTGGGTCAGCGACACCCATCTATTTTAAAGTGCGGGACCAGATACGCCAAACGGACGCTGACCTTGATTCCGCCTTCTCTCTTCAAACATCTGTCGCACTCTGCCCCCGGTGCGAAGGCTCTCCCCCAGAGACGTGATGGAGGAGAGGGAGGAGGCGATGGACGATGCGGAGCCGTTCGCCCGCTGTCGCTCGATCACCCGCGACTGCTGCGCCTCCAGCATTTCCAACATCTTCCGCTCTCGCAGCTCCTCCTGCTGCTCCTGGAACCGCGCCTGGAATTCAAAGATACATGAGTTATTTTCGGTTCCAAAGGATCTTCCCAAAAGATCAAGACATTCACGAGACACTGGGGATGTGAGCGGAAAAACCTGTTCCTCCCATGCCACGCCCTTATTTTGCATAGCATACGATGCCCTCCTTGCGACTACCAAACAAGGGAACCTCCACGCGTAGCAACGCACCCACAGACCCGGAGACAAATTTGACGACGAACGACAAGAAAAAATTAGGAGGGTGTGTACCGTAGACCTGGCAGCGAGGCATCCTGGCATTATGTATCCTGGTTTATCAGTGAGGGAGGTGAAGGACTCGATCGCGGAAGAGCGTGGGCTCGACTCTGACAAGACCATTACCCCACCCCCGCCGAAACCTTGGCCTCCTCACGCGTCCTCGTTGCATTCGCCGATTGCGACGGGAGTCGGAGACGAACGGCCCACGACGAGCGAAATCGTACCCGAGAAGCAGCACGGCCTTCAAGCCACTGCTTGGATTCCTCTTGACCCAGCTCGACCGGAGGAACGGAAAACACGTCCACAAGGGAAAGCAACAAATGCGATCTGAGGGGGGATGCCTATATGCCGATCCACGAGTCATAATATACCGCCTTGCATATGCGCCGTCAAATGGAAAATCGATTGCCGCTGATGAGACGGAGAACCGCTTCCATAAATATTAACCAGTGTGATATTATCAATACTCAGCTCCCCTAGGACCATATATATAACCTTTCTGCTAAGTTCAACACCTCCTCCCCCAAGGTAGGTAACGGCAGCAAAACGATGCCCCCCTCCTTCCCACTCCCTCCCCCTCCTCCCCACCCCCTCCCCACCCCCTCGCGCCCATGAGTTTCTGTGTGATCTGTGTCAAGGCTCGCTCGGCTCGAACCCTCTTTAAAGGACAGGGCAGTGCACGATTCTAGCTATTGACGAAGCGATCGAAGCTCCCCCTCCCCCATACAGGTCTATCGAGGATGTTGCGTGCCGGATACATCGTCAGGCTCGCCCGAGACATGACACCATTTCCTCTCAATTCCACATCCGAGTTCCATAATGACAGTGTCTGAAGTATCACGACTTGTTGAAGACGATGAGGATTGCCGATTAATGGGACTCGGACGAGGCAGTGACGATTGTAGCAGCTTGTCTGATCACAATCGTTTCAACCACAAATCGATGATAATAGAAGCTCTCGTGGTAATCGCTCTTCATAAGTGGGGATTAGACCTTGAGTCTGACCCACTTAATCCATAACCTCTCACCTCAGCTTTACCTGGTGAGGGTGACGATTACCCAGGGGTAGCGAGGGGTTGCACCTTCATTTTCATTTATATTGGCACCTTCATGTTTCTTTCACGTCTCATCTATCTTCCTGATTCGACCTGTCCAACGACATGCCCCACATGTCCCTACGACATGCCCCTACAATGGGAGTGTCACGTTATCCAACGGAGAAGTCGCCTTTCATTTAATAATCCGCTTGGATTGCCCTGTCCTAATCCGCTTGGATTGCGCTGCCCTGCTCCGCTCCACTTGGCTGGGTCACTAAATTAATTTCGTCACGTTTCGTTTCAACTAGGTTTTTTTTTCCCTCCCCCCCCTTTTACGTTTTTGTCTTCATTTTTTTCTTGGTGCATTTCTCTTCTTTTTTTGTAAATAGAGAATGACCGAATATTTACTTTCGCTTTCTAAACGCTTTCATGGCGTCCATTTGTCGAGATATTTGCACGGAAAGTGACGAAATCGGCTGATCAGCTGAATTTAAAAAATCCTTGCTCTATGGCGGTCAAAAATGACGGTAAAAATTGATTGCAGAAGTTGTAAAACTGGGACATTACGAAAGTCTAATCCGCTCGATTGCTCAAATATTACTTAAGCTTCTCTTCAGCATCGGCTGTCTTTTCACGTTTAATTCTTAGCAGTGGGGTTACCGAAATTTAGGTCCCGGGTTGATATGTATTCATTTTGAACGAAGTATGCATTGATTAATGATCTGGAAGCTACGAAAATATACACGATATGCATGTAATGCATTACAGAAAACAAAGAGGGCAGAATATGCTTAGACTATGCACTCTCACTCTGCACACGCTATTATATGGACATTCAATTTGACAAGAGACGCCATTTTGAGCGTCAATTTCTCTTAACAGACAAAATATACATTTCTGGAAGAATTTGGGCCCAACAGCTGATTTTGCTGACAGCGTTAGCAGAGGATGCTCAGAATAATCCATGCAACTGAATACCTGAGTTAAGAGGGGTCAATTAGAGTCCATGTTTCCATAGTTTTCTGCGAGTTTTCCGTCGCAACTCCTCGGAAAACTTCTAAAAAATTTAATGTGCCATCACTCAAAATGGTAACCATAAAACCATGGGTGAGGTATGGATTGGATACAGGCGTTGGGTATGGATTAATACGTCGATACGTCGATAGCAGATGTTAGACGCTACATGATGGCAATGGCGTAGGTATGGGTGCGAAGGGTGGCGGGGGACTATGGGGGCTTTAGCCAGCTCCCCCCCTCCCCCGCCCGCCCGTTAAAGATTGAACATTTTCAGCTTTCCAGCACAGAACTCAAGGTACCCAGAAAAAAGCGAGCTTATAAAAGACAAGGCAGCCCCGCAGAGAAGAGCCCTTGCGATACGTTCCCTACCCCACACCGAACACGAATAATGCATGACAAATCGATACACTATGCGGGACGACAAATAGCCTGCGAGGGAACACCAGCGGTGAGTGACCATTTATCACATAGCCGATCTAAAACATTCAGACCCTAGACTGGATCGGGAGTGGCATCAGCGTCAAAAACTTCTGGAACTCCTATTATCTTCTTCCCTTTACGTTCCCACTAATCGCCGTTAAGGTCACGCTATCAGAGTACGAACAAGAAAGCATTAATGCTCGAGCTCATCTAGAAGTTGAAACGTGTGCTGTTGCGCTTCGAGATGCATAACGTGCGCATAAACGAGACCGGGCACAAACCAGGGATGCCACGCGAGACGACGCAGTAGAGTCCTGCCCGGGCGGACGGGATCGACTTCGACTCTAGTCTTTTGTGATCGAGAAATCTCGTGTCTTTGCCGTTTCTGGGTCACTTCGGTAATAACCTGCAACAGGCAGTCACGTTTCTTGGACGGCGGTACGAGCCACAGGGTAATAGCAAACGTCGGCTTGTGTAATACCGAACCCACCCTTACTGGAAACCAGATAGGAGATAACCGAGAAAATAATTTATGCAATCCGACTTCGAGAAGCTTCCAGCGCTCAACCACGAACAGGAAATCTGCAATTATTATGGCTGAGGGATGCGACACCACAGTAGTACACAGTAGTACGTACCACACAACAGTTCCTTTGTCACGCCAAAGTAAGGAAAGTGTGAAATCACGCCCCCAAAATGCAAAAAGCACGGCCGCTCGAAGCCGTTCCGGCGGGAAACGAAGATGTAAAAACGACAGAATCGACCCCCTCACGGCTGCCATACAGATTATCCCAATGAAGATCAATGAATAATCTGTACTGCAATGAGGAAACTCCCCGAGAACCGTAGAAGCATTGCACAAAAAGACGCCATCGCTCATCGGTTACGAGGCCCCCCGCGAGGCTGACCTACAACAATCAGTCGGGATAACAGAAAGGCGAAAGGTGCTCGTGACTGAGGGAAGAAGTTGAAAGGCGTTCCATCAGCCTCATTCCCTTCAAGGGGTAAAACGAGGTCAGGAAAATCGCCTACGTCTTCCTGGGGTTCGCGTTGTCAGGGGGTTAGGAGAATCGAGGCCATCCAAATACTCACGAATTAGCCCTCTCCCCCCCCTTCCCTTTCCCCACCCTAGTATTTGGGGATTGATGTTCACAAAATATGCCAATTTTCGACTGAGTTGGACTTTAATCCGTGCAAGTCACATTCCCCTCCCCATTTCCCATCTGAATAATTTTTTTTTGGCTTTGGGTATTATAAATAATTCACAGGGATGACTGGGATGACGGATATGACTAAAAATGGCTGGAGTCTCGATTCCCCCTCAGTTCATGACATCGACCGACCGACCGACAAGGGCCGACACGCGAGCCCAACGACCTTGAAAAGCAAACTCACCAATTCTCGAAGTTGATGGTCAGCGTACATCCCCCCGAGAACATGCGAAACAGTGTACCGAGCGCCGAACGCAGCACCGTACTCGACACTGAACTCGCCACAACCGGATGCAGAAGACAGAAGCCAGCGCTTTCGTCACGGAACGTCCCTCAAACATGAATGATCATCGATTCTATCGAGTAATAGGGATCGACCGAGTCGCGTGTCAACATCAGCCTCCCTGCGTTCGCTCTTCCCTCTGTGTTTCGCACTTGCTGCCGAACTCGTCACGACGGCCGGTTTTCACGAGGGGAGAAATTTGGTCTGTGAACCAACTGTGAAACTGTGAACTGTGAAACGCAGCCCATCGATCTGGATGTTTGCTGTTAAAGCCGCGCGTTCATTAATGATGCCTGAAGGACGAAGTCAAATCATGCCAAGGTCTAGGGTAGAATGAGAAAGATTTCCCCCCTGCCAGGAAATTCTATCGCAGGGGTGCACAACGTACAGCCCGCGAGGCCCTTGCACGTGGCCCGCCGTGACCGGTGACGTTTTAAGTGCTACTATGGTTCCTGCCCTGTTGGCCACAGCTATGGTCAATCAGACTGCAGCCCGCGGTATGTGAGTAAAAATCGCAAATGGCCCTCACAGTCTTTTGAGTTGTGCATCCCTGTTCTATCGGAAGCCCAGGAAAGTTTTCACTGCCTGCATTGGACCGTGTCCTGCATACTGATTGGAGGCAGTCATGAGACGCATTTTGCGGTTTTCCTTCTTTTATGTTTCTCGAGGAGATGTCTATCTGCGCATAAAAAGAAGACCTTTCACTCACTCCTGCTACTCCTGTCACTGCGACCAAATACTGCAGAGACATCTGTCGACGACACTACCGTCTGGCAGGGATTCGGGATTCGACTCATCTTGGGATTCGACGCTCATAGGATTCGACTCATCCTGGGATTCCAGGGAAAGCTTGGCTCTCTCTGGCCAAACCCGACGGATTTCCTTGGACAAGGTCGTGGATGGGGGTGAAGGAGTCAAGGGAAACGCCTGGAAAAACACCTGTCTTCACTGAGCGTTGCTGGATCAGCGCTTTCACTCATGACACGGAGGAAATTCCATGATTCCCTTCACCGAGGATATGGCGCTAATTTCGTGGTTTCGGCGCGTTCCGCAAGGTTTTGCTTTT